TATATATATATATATATATATATATATATATATATATATATATATATATATATATATATATATATATATATATATAACATTCAAAATTTTGGAATAATTTAGATAATATAAAATATTAAAGGAATTATAAATAAATTAGAGTTGCAAATAGCAAAAAATACGTTTTATTAGGAGATTTTGATTTTTTGAAATATGAAAAAATACCCTCATGCATACTTAAAAAAATTGAAAACAATTGAAATATTGTATGTAATGGAAATTAAATCTTGCACGGGTAAAAAATTTATACCAACAAACTACAAACCAATTTTTAAAGTTAAATTTTAAATAATATACAAAAAAATTAGAATTTAAAAAGGAATATATACAGAAAACTCAGAAATAAAAAAACAAATATATAACATTCAAAATTTTGGAATAATTTAGATAATATAAAATATTAAAGGAATTATAAATAAATTAGAGTTGCAAATAGCAAAAAATACGTTTTATTAGGAGATTTTGATTTTTTGAAATATGAAAAAATACCCTCATGCATACTCAAAAAAATTGAAAACAATTGAAATATTGTATGTAATGGAAATTAAATCTTGCACGGGTAAAAAATTTCTACCAACAAACTACAAACCAATTTTTAAAGTTAAATTTTAAATAATATACAGAAAAATTAGAATTTAAAAAGGAATATATACAGAAAACTCAGAAATAAAAAAACAACTAAATAGAGTAATATACAGAAAAATTAGAAATAAAAAAAATTAGAAATCAAAAAACAACTAAATAGAGAATACTGTCACAAGAAGGTCTCGAACTCCGGACCTCCTTGGAATTGAAGGAAGAATTCTACCAACTCAGCTACAGCTTAACATGTTCAAGTTACAGATTTACAGTTATATAAAGGCACATATATAGGAATTTTTTTTTTTTTAAAATCAAGGGTGTGCATAGGGATGGCAGCGGAGCGGGTACCCTCGAAAAAATGCAATACCAGAACCATTACCATTTAATATAGCTCAAACCATGACCGTACCAAACCCTTTTAAAAAGTTGATGAAAATACCACAACCATTACCACGAATATCCGGGTATCCACGGGTACCCATTTACCATTTAAATTACGGTAATAAAAAATAACTTTAGATCCGATAACGTTTAAGTAACTCTCAGAAAAGAGGAAGAAAAACGGAAAAGAAAAAAAAGTAAATTATACAAATATACCCTCCCTAAATTATTTAATACTATATTTAAAATTTTGCCATTTCTTTATTCATAGCATATTTCATATGTTTATTCATATATATATATATATATATATATATATATATATATATATATATATATATATATATATATATATATATATATATATTTTTTAAAAAATTAAGATCTTTTTTTTTTAATTTACCAAACACTTTGGAAGATCTTATAAGTTCTTAAACATCTTATAAGCTCATTTTAACATCTTATAATTTTAGCCAAACACCCTCCAAATGATCTAAAATTGATTTCCTATTTAAATTTCGTTAAAATTAATATTAGATCTATCCAGCTTCCAAACAAAAGCATGTTCTTCCGCACCAAGACCTTCACTATGAGTCCCCTAAACGTAAGGTGATGCCGACAAAATTTCGATTTCCCGCTATTCCGATCCAAAGTTATACAATTTCCGAACACTTTTTCTTATTCCGATTTTTTATTTTTCCGAATATTTTTTTTTATTGAAATTGGAGATATATGTAGAAATTTGGAATTACCTATTTACAATACGGTTTTAATTTCCAAAAAAAAAAAAAGTCCGATTTTTTTTTTTTTTTTCTAGTATTATTATATCACATATTTTACTTAATTTTTTTTCTAGTATTATTATATCACATATTTTACTTAATTAAAAATTTAATATATTTTGCTATTTTCAACATTCACAAATGTGGTATTTATAAAAAAAAATTGTAGTTTGTATATTTTCGTCGATGTTGTATCTCATGTTGTGTTTCTATATTTCGGTTATATAATTATTTGTGTAAAATCTCCGTACATTGTAGTGAGACTGCTATTTACGACAGCATTAATGCTCGGAACTATTTTTTCGGAATATTGGCTCCAAATGGTCGGTAAATAAGAATCAAGCAAAAATGTCGCATGTAAGATTTGCAAACAATGGGCTCCGACGTATTTACAATATGTATAAATCTATACACGTGTATGACGCATACACGTGTATGACGCAGCATAAAACAAACCATTTATCGATGTATGTACGTGTGTAACTAAACAGTGAATGTACACAACTGCAGCACACACGAATTATTGTGCATATCTACTAGATGTATACTAATTTTGAAGAACACTTAGAATACCTGAAAAAATATACCTAGTTGTAGAAAAACGAAGCGTAAACACAAAGTATCTCAAACAAGCATTACTAAGCACACAAGTCGAGAATTCATATCAGATACCTAACTCGCAACTCAAAACGCGCGCAGCTCAATATATCTAACAACAACAAATGCAGAATAATCGATCGAGATTCTATCAAGAAAACGGCAAGGCTAACCTGATATTTTACAACATACAACTTACAACTCGAAAATTGGTACGTTACAATCTGCTAACAACTTGTTCCAAGGGCACCAGACCAAAAAAAATTCACAAAACCAAGCTACAACACGATGCACGATGGAGAATTTACAACTAACAACTTCTTCAGAGAACTAACGATTACAACGAGAGCATCAATTTACAAAAATTAAACGAGACTCCTTCGCTCTATTCTACAACCATATCATAAAGCAATTTAAGCTTACCGGAATTACATTACAACAGGAAAAAAGCACGACCCCTAAAGATTACAAGTCCCAAATCGGAACCAAAACCCCACAATTAAAACGACCAAAACAGTGGTCTCAAGACTCGTACATTACGTTTTACATGAAATGAAGGTGTGCACATGTGAAAATAAAAATCTATTACATGTGCGAAACCCCACTACACGGAATTCAATCTACAGACCATACCACACAGCAGTTTAACCTTACAGGAATTACATTTACACCGGTAAGCACGACTCCTAAAGCTTTACCGAGTTCCGATTTCGGAACCAAATCATCACAAAAAACGACCAAAACAGTGGTCTCAAGACTCGCACGTTACTTCTTACATGAGATGAAGGTGTGCGTGCACATGGGAAATAAATTAAAAAAAAACCTATTACATGTGTGAAGCCCTATTACATGGAATATATATACATACACACTAAACACAGCTCACGAAAGTATTCTCTTCAAGTATTGGGAATATGATGGGGCATCATCCATGTTTTTGCTCAAAAATATTCTTCAGAGAATTTGGTAAGCAATTGCATATATGAATTAAGGCTTCTTTGCATTCATAGTACTAAGCATACCGAAGAGCGCACCAATTAATGGTTTCTCTGCTCCTGAGTACGATAGTCGAAGAAAAAATCCCGTTGTCAATAACAATAGATGACCAGTGAGAAGCCATATGAATATTATAATAATAAGCACACACACCACGGAGAAATAGGACGAAAAACCGTTATAATCACAGATTAGTACACACAATTCACGGAACAAACCTATAGCAACTCAAACTTTACTTAAATAACTACATACTTGACAGCACGCACACATGAACGGGCAAATAAGTGATATACCTACCTGATTCTTTAATTAACATGCACGTAAAATCTACAATATGACATACGTGTATTAAGAATGACTCCTCGCAGTTAAGAAAGCACCCTATTTTTGCAAGTAGATTTTCTTCGAGGATGACACGAGCACAATGAGACGATGTATCAGTATAAGTGTTAAGAATTCATAGGTCAAATAGTGTGTCAAGACCGAAAAAAATAAACATAACAAGCCAGTAAGGACAAGCCTCACCGTATCAAGCAAATCCACAATATTACACTACGTTTAAGTTCAGAAAATTTATAGCACAATAATATTTAGTGTAGCATCAAATTAAGTTCAACTTAGAAGCAAAGCAAAGCAAAAAGTGTTCTTCCCAGCAACCTCTAGTAAAAGACACTTACTTCCTCGAAGTCCGAGACAGCACAGCATGCGGTGCCAACATATAAAAAAAGAAAGAGCTGCAATCCTTGAAATTATCCAGATCCGACAGTTCAAAATGATTCATTCCCCTGCACGAGCTGTTCTTAATATAATCACTCAGACGGCATGCGTCTGCGCTTCCCGTAATCCGCATCCCTAGATCGAGACCTGTGATCTTCTTCCTGCACTGCGCCTGATCTACTCCGAGATCTTGAAGACTGTCCCCTGTCCCAGTCATCATCATAGCCTGATTCACGTTCTTTATGGCGATGCTCTCGATAACGATCCTTCTCTTCCCTGTACTTGGAGTCCCTATCGTTTCTCTCTCCATCATTTTCTCTCTCCTCACGATGCTTCCTCTCAGGGTACTCACGCTCAGAAGTCCTCTCCTTTTCTCGGGGAGCAGCACTAGACCTCACACTTTTGTCATGACTTCCCTCACCATATCCATACTCAGATGCATTATCTTCACCACCATAGCTAGACTCTCGACCATGTTCTTCCCCTCCCCACCCACCCATGTTCGGGTCATTCCACATTCCAGAATGGGGGCCAACCATCCCCGGATTCCCCATCATACCCATTCCATTGGGATTCATTCCTCGACCGAAAAAAGCTGGATTGACATGAGGAGCCACTCCGGGAAGCCCCATTGAATTAACACCTTGAAACGGAGGAAGCATACCTTGGAAAGGAGGACCCGAAAAGCCTCCGTAACCACCTCCCCGACCCATAAATGCTAGGTCAAAACCAGGACCCATCATGCCCTGAGGATGCATCATACCAGGGGGCCCACCAAAACCAGGGCCATTAAGGCCTTGTCCATAAGCTCCTCCACCGCCAGCACCGGGTGCATTCCCAATCATATTCTTGTTTCCCATACCCCCTCTTCCTCTGATAGGTCCAGCCCCTGGACCCCTGTTAGGGGCTTGATTTCCTCTTCCCCAGCCGCCGCCTCGTCCGAAATTCCTCCCTGCATCTCCACTAGGATAATTCGTTCCGTTACCTCTTCCTGCTCCGTCATTCATTGGATTCCTTCCTTGCAGCTGCGACTGAGACTGGCCTTGGTTCTTGTTGTAAGAGGCGCCCATTTGCTTCGAGGTTTGTGGATTGGCATACGTCACTACACAAGCTCGTCCATTGAAGATGTGACCCTGCATACCGTCCTTGCAAGCGGTGGCAGCAGCGGGATCGTAAAACTCAACCTGGCAATAACCTTTGGACTTGCCACTAGCCCTTTCATCGAAAAACTTAATCTCCTTGACTCTCCCATACTGTATGAGCACACTCTCAACCTCAGCATCCGTTGTCCACCAGTGCAACTCTCCTACATAGATCATAGGATTTCCGTTTTCTCCTCCGGATGGCCGTATCAGGTATTCATCATCCATCGAACGGTTTACATTGACATTGACATTTGCATTTGAGTTCATCAGATTGGATGGAGCCTGTGGAACACCTTTCGAGCTGCCCGTGTTAGGATACACCAAGGATGCAGGTTCACCGACTATATTTTCTGAATTGTTCATCCGATCTGTAGCAGTCTTATGAAGCATTATTTCTGATCCTTGATATCCCAAATGCGCTGCTTGAGAACTATTTGCAACTTCAGGGAGCCTCACCCTTTGAGAAGCATCCACAGGTTGCGCAGGTCCACCGACAGCCGTCAAGTTATTCTTCTGATCAGAGAGTTGAACGCCATTAGGTGCATAACTCCCCTCGTTACCAACTCTGCCATTGTTCACCTCTTGCGAGGCTATTGCTTCAGCTCTAGTTCCGGGAGCAGTGTTTTTGGAAATCGAGAAACTATTATTTCCAACAGCAGAAGGCGGTGGTGCCTCAGACCGCTGCATTTGCATGAAACCCTCCCCAACATTAACATCATTGTACAGGTCATCATATTCATCGTCATCACCAATCATTTCATCCTCAGCAAGCGCAGGTATCGCTCCACCGTGATGATATTGCATCTTCTGGTTTCCTCCATATTCCTCATCTCCATAATCTAATTGCTCGTCGGTTACTGGATCCATTAGAGCACGTTATCCCTCACAAAGATACGCTTCTCCCCCTGATTTTAGCAACAACAAGCAATCAATAACAAATCCATTACATCAATAAACATAAAAAGAATATCTACCCACTAGTCGGCAATCTGAAATTTATTGCTAGTTCCTAAAAGTTAAGTCGTTAAATAGCGTATCGGTTGTAATTAACTCATCAAAGATAGAAAACTATTAATTCCTATACAGATCTAAAGAAGATAATGCGAGGCAAACGAAACACAACATTCAGATTTTTTTTCACCAATAAATATCCATCTCTCACAAGATTTGCATCAAATCAAAACATCAAAAACTTGCACCCGAAGAAAAAAGAGACGGCGTTTCGATGAACCCATATCATACCATAGAATCACCAAAATTGGACGAATGTCCTAGACCCACATCACAACTCTACAAAAAACGATAATGAAGTAAAAGCAACCATACATAAATAAACCCCAAAAAAAGAATAAATCAACAATAGTTAAAAACAGACAACAACGAAACAAATAAATAAAGCAAACCTACGCCATAAAAAAAATAATAATAATAATTCAAAACGATGAAGAAACAATAACCCAAGTGGCAACTAAAGTTTTGAACAGATTCTCATTCATATATATGTAATAACAGCATTAATTTCTCCTTTCCCGGAAAATTGAATCACTTCTATAAAAGACGTAATAGGCGAAATTGTGCCTGGAGTTCGATCGGCTGGGCTGCGATCGGCGGCGACGGATTTCAGGCGGCTAGGGTTAACAATTAGGGCAGCAGAATTGATCGACGTTCTTCTCCGGCTGAATTGCTATTGGGTATTTTATCTGCCCTAGGTTTTCGTTTTTCCTTTTTGATTTTTTTTTTTTTTTTGGGTTTTAGATTTTTACCGAGATTGATTTCGATGTGGGATCGGGGTTTATCTGATGATGTATATTTATTTCCCTTTCTTTTGTTTGTTTCCAACTTCTTATTAATTATTAATTATTATATTATTATTTTATTGTGAATAATAATTCAAAATATGTATTATTATGTATAAATAATAGACCATGTAAACAAAAATATTTTTTAGAGCAAATAATAGTCACTCGATAATTATGTTGGATAAAATAATGGTGGTTGGTTATTTTTTCTTTTTTTTTTTCATTTTTTGGGAGTTTTATAAATTGAATTTTGGTGTAAACAAAGATTCATCAAAGATTAACACGATTTGAACCTTAAAAATATTTACTGTAAAAATCAAGATTGTATATCAATTGTCAACCCCAAATCTATTGTATTCTTTCGTTAAAACTATATCAGTTCGTACTGAAATTTTGGTATGAAATTTATGCTCACCGTGGTAATTACCGAAAACAGTTGAAAAGTTTTTTTTTTAATATGCACTTCATAAATTATAATGTAAATGTAATATTATGCCTAAATATATGTATATGCATAAAATAATTGAAGGTCCACCAAAAAATATAACACAAGAATATAAAGATGAAGTTAAGACCATTTTATAATTCTATGTGAAAAAATAACACATCACTACTCGTCCAAATGTCAAATTCAATTTTCTTATTTTCTAATTTGTGGACTATTGTGTGTGACTATTCACATTTCGTATTGTTTCCATAATTAACTACAAAATTATTGAAAACAATTATTATATTTTTTAAAATAATTACTTATAAATAGCATGTTCACAAGACAACTACAAAAAACATCGGCTATGTTTGGTAAGCTATTCGAATTCTTTTCACATTTTTCCCAAAATGAAAATTATCTTTCTACAATATTTTAAAAAACTTTTCCCAAAAACAATTCAAATATTTCTCTCTCTAACAAACATGATTTGACCGCTACAGTGAAAATTGTCTTCACTAAAATACAAACTAAAATCACTTTATTTTTCAAATTTTTCTTCCAAAATACATTTTCCCAACACCTTTCAGACATGATTTGACTTGCTACAGTACAAATTGTCTCCTCTCAAAACACAAACAAACTTTATTTTATTTCCAAATTCTTCTCTCAAAACATCTTTCTCCAGAATAAAATGGAAATGTAAGCCCAAAAGCTTACCAAACATAGCCATCATTTTACAATAGCATGATCACAAAAATGAAAAATATAAATTAACAGAATTAGTTATAAAAAAATTAAAATCAACTATAAAATATCAAAAACAACTATAAAATCTAGTTGATTAATAAAATCAACTACAACATTAACGAAACCAACTATATTTCTATAAATAACACAAACGCAATTTCATCAAACGAACATCCATTATTCTACTATTGATTAAACAAAAATTAGCCTCCAATAACGGAATTCAACCAAAAACTCTAATTAAGAAAATTAAGAATTGCGAATGGCGTTCGAAAAATAAAAAAGAAATTCTAGAGAAAAAAAAAAGAATAGGAACAAATCAACATTATAAGAAGGTATGGTAATTTTGTTGTAGTTGCATCAAATCCAAACAAATACTAAAAATCTATAAACTGAGATTACCTTTTCCAGACATTTTTTTTCCTCAAAAAAGAATTGTTACTTCCTAGTGAAAGAATACAAGAACACCTCCATTTGTTACACTATTGTCTGAAAATGTACATTACATTGTGACCCGAACCTGTAATGAATACATGAGAAAAATCACCGCTTTCAATGCTCGCCGTTGTGAAAAAAATACTTTCTTTTTTTTCTTATTAGTTCGATTGTCCTTCAAATCAATACATCCCTTTGAAAACCGGGTTTGTGCGGCATATACTTGCTCCACATTCCTCGTACTCGGCTTTTGTATGGCATGCCTGAATGGAGCAACAAAAAAAAAATTAATTAATAAAGAGTTGCATACAAAGAGTAACGAAGTCCGATACCAAATTTATAATAACACTTTTTCTATTTATTGAACTCCCAAACCGAATTTCATTAATAAACAAGAAAGGTCACAAAATGTGGGATGTGCAGTGTATCACAATTATTTAAATGTAGGGAAATTATAAATATATATTTGTGTCCTTGTTAATTTCAATAAAATATTAACTAATACGGGCTTTTCTTGTCAAATACGATTTAATAATCATCGATAATGCGTAATAAAAACATATTACACAATACCACATTTTATAATATTGCAGTTTACAAAAAGTTAACTTTGAAATATCATAGTTTAAGTAGCAATCATATACCGTAAAAAACTCGGGAGTGGATGCAAGCACCGAGCCGCCGAACCAAACAGCATATCTCTGGATTGGATGGCTGACTACATTTACTTCCACGGGTTGGGACTGAAGAGATTACTTGCAGCGGTCAATATTTATAACAGGTGGATAACTACGTCAATTGTTAATAAAGTATGATAATAATAAAGTAGCCTAATTAATAGCTTACTTTTACTTCTCCTCCAAGCCGAGTCTCTGAAGCAAGAACTCGAGCATCAACAATCTTTTTTACATCCCGTTGTAACCTTCTATGGAAGTCTTTGAACATGGTTGATCCTCCAGATAAGACAACATTCTGCAAAATATCAGATCATCACTACTTCTGTTATCGTAAAGCAATAAAACTAAGAATGGAATTGTTAATAAAAAAAATGAAAAAAAAAACACTCGACTCAAACAGATAGTGTGTGTCACCTTGTACAACGCTCTTCTTGTATCTATTGGTGCCGATTGAATACATTTGTCGATCACATCAGGTAAAGGGGTACTAAAATCGGTACTATATATTTCAGGGTTGAAGAAGACCTGCACAAGCAGGTGAAGGAACCTTTTCAGATATGTTCAAGTTATCTCGATGAAATCTTTTGCACTGGTTTACTACTCTGGCAATAGTGATTATCAGGCATACTGAAATAGCAACGTATACTAAAATATGTTTGCGTGCTAGGTTAGTCGAGCTTTAAGGCAGTGACCGAAGCAAACCTCGGGGCCAAGGAACCGTTCGTAGCCTATATCACAAGAATACGGTGCTCCTGTCTTTGGCTTAGTACCTCTCCACTGCTTAACATACTTTGAAGGCTCTTTGTCATGCTTATTGAACTCCTGAACTTGTCGAAGAATATACACAAGTTAATGCGAGAAAATTATCTTATCTTTAAGAGATGCGAACAGCAGAGATACAATCAAGTGAACTTTTATATGTTCTCATTTATTTGGAAAGAGAAATGCAAACTTCTGCTATTTTTGCTATTTCGGAAATTGCCAACGCACGATTAGCAAGGACCAAATCGTATCCTTTATGGGGTTAAGTGGGAATAAATCTGAAGGCAGCTGTCTGTCTATACTATACCTTTACAATGTCAGAGCATGTGTAGCAATACATTTCCTTCACTTTCCGGGCTACTTCAAAGGAGTCCTCAGGTGGAACAAGCTCTCCTCTTTCCTGCACGTAACAATATCAGAAGGACAGCAATATAAACACTACAAAAAAGGGTATGGTGTAAGGATAACTAATTCAGACAGCATTCTCAACAGAACAAAAGAAAACCACTATATCCCAGCTTAACCAGCCAACTTGGTGCTTAGTACTATTACAACAACACAACCTTCATATTAAAGAATAAGGGAGAACAAACACCCATAAAGTCCGTAAAATACGAGGTCCCCATATTCTTCAAGATAGTTCCTAAGAAGTAACCAAACGGAGCTAATTAAGGAATAACAACAGAAGGGCATTATTTACACTATTCATAACATGGATTATTCCCTGTTTGGCTTCAAACTTATTAACATATATAATGCGGCCTAAAAGACTTTGGGTTCAACATTTTAAACATTCACAGAACAGAAAGCCTGAAAATTAGGCAGCTAAGCAATGATCCAAGTTCTGGTACCATGATAAAAAGAATACGCACAACACATCATCTGCCCACATCATGAACTATGAGGAAACGGAAAAAATATAATATTCAACAAAAGATAAATGATCTTCTCTTCTCCAGGATCACCAAGAAAATTTATTTGACAAGAAGCAGGGCCTAGAAGGAATCAAATATTGAAGAAAACATACTCGCATGAGCTGCTGGATGAAGAGAGTGACATCTTCTCCTGCAATTGGAATTGACTTAATGCTGCTCCCGATAACATAACCCTCGGCAACGGGCACGACATGAGTAGCTCCATCCCCCACGTCCACAACAACTCCTGTCATCTCACACTATGAAGAAGTGTTGGGAAATACATGAAAAAGAAGAGTTAATCAACATTCAGTTATTTTTTGGAGCAGTTATGTCTAGGTGAATGATAAGTAGTTCATTTTATTATCTCCCATGCTTATCTAACTCTACATCAACTGGACATTTAGCGTTGCAATAGCCAATATATTATAATTTCAGCTCCTCAACGAAGAATTCACTTATATCGCTTCATCTCACTTCTCAAGAAGCTAGAATTATGAGAAACATCAAACCAAATGTGAGAGTTTAAAGACTCGAATCTTGCAGATTAGGCGGTATCTCCAAATAAACAAGTAGGTGGACAGTGCAAAAATTCAAACTTATACATTGTACACACGCCAACACATATAAATCCATAAGTAGTCTATTTCCAATTAACTAGGTAAAAGGGATCTTCTAGGTTTTATCTGAGAAAAATGAGGAGACAGACCGGGAGGAGTTGAAATCAGTTCTACATTTCTTTAGCACTATTTTGATTTGATAAATATTATCTTTTTCAGTTACCAGTGTCAATCTTTCTGAATTGCTACAACATAATACCACTTGACTGATAACCACCCTCTTTAACTATGCATTATCCAACTCATTACATCTATCTTCCATCTAAACATTATCCATGTCAAAATTCATCAATTCTAATTTCACATAACCACTTACCCACCTCTGTTCTTAGAAATTGGACCAGTTAGAAGACCAAAACACTCAGGAAGTTCATTGGGCACTACTTTTTTCAATTGCAAAACACAGACTCAATTGATATAGCGAACTGCATCGCTTGCAGCTGCAGGTAAATCCAGAATCCAGTTTAAAAAATCCCTTCTGTAATCCACATACAACAAATTTCCAAGAGAAATTGTCAACAATTAACAACTACAGGGCACTCTGAAAGCATTCATCGGATCAAATTACACCACAAATCTGTAAAAATGACTCAATTGACTTATCAAATAGGTATTGAGAATTCCCAGAAACCAATCACAAGATTTCAGGAAATAAGCCAAAATGTTTTATACGAGAGAACTACTGAATCAAATACCAACCTTGGATGTTGTGTACCCAGCAGCCAAAGCAAGAACAGGCTGCACACCAATATAAAGCCCTGGAACATTAAACGTCTCAAACATTATCTCGCCGGTATACTCTCGGCTCTCAGGTGGGGTCAATGGACTCTCAGTCAACAAAAAGTAATGATCCTCCGGATCACAGCGCAGGTAATTAAATATGCACTGCTGCCAGAATCGCTCCATTGCATCCCAATTATCGACCTGGCCATGTTTAATTGGATAGCTCAAGTTATATGTGCTACTAGATTTAGATCTAGCCAATGCCTCTTCTCCTATATAAAAATCCAGATCCGCCATCACCCCCGCACTATGCTGGGACAACCAATTGCTGCCTTTCGAAGAACTTGATCGCGGCTGGTTGACAAATGATTCGTTTACTGCTACTACAGTGGGGACTATAAAACAAGGTTCGACATTTCCAGCAAAACCCATCTTCGTATACCTAGAAACCCAGATTAAAAAAATTAAACCTTTCACAAAACCCATCCCAACAAGCGCACATACAAATTCAGACATACAAACAAAACTTCAGTGAAGCATTTAATCAAACACTTTAACTGCAAATATCAAATATCAGAAAAGGGAGAGCAATTACCCAGTGCCGTTATCGATTACTACGGCGGGGCGAGAAGTGGTAGGGTCCATGAGTAAGAAAGAAGAAGATAAATCCGCAGCTGAGATTTTTCGAGGGTTTTAAGAAAAACGGCGATCATGTTCGTTGAAATTCATACGACGGCGTTCCGGGGAAGGTGAGGCTGACCAATCAACGGTGGTGGTGAAGGGTTTGATTCCACCCATTTCACCGTTGAGTCGTCAACTTCGTCATCACCCAAACTGAAACTAAGTATAGACGACGATGATTCCAGGGTGGGGTTGTTTTCTTGATTCTTATTCTCTTCTCAGCAATCAAACAAGGAAAAGCTTCAATGTTGATTGAATTTGGTGTGGGTTTTTTTTTCAATTTTTTTTAATGTACTAATTTTTGTTTATTTAGGTTTGGGGAAAGAAACAGATAATCAGTTCAACGCTCTTTGAAGTTCGGCAATTGGATCTGATTGCAGGGGTGACTAGCTGAACAAGAGACAATAGATCTAGTTAGGGAAAATTACAATTTGTGCCTCTCAAATTTGCACTAATTTTAATTTTACCCCATGTTCACAAAAAAATGAAAAATTGGTCCCTGATGTAATGATGTTTCCAAAATTTAACATTTTTAGTCATTTCTTTCAATTTTCCGTTAGTACTAACGGAATCATGTGTGTGCCCATCGCTGTTTTAATTGAAGAACTAACGGTAAATTGACGGAAATGACCAAACGTGTTAAATTATTCAAACACGAGGGACCAAATATGTTTTTTTGTATACATGAGGTACCAATTGTGAAATTAATTCAAACTTGAAGGGTGAAAACTGAATTTTTCCGATCTAGTTATACTGAACAAATAAAAAATAATATGTTTAATAAAATTATTTTATATTTTGTAAGCCTAATTTCACTATTAATCCCTCATTTTAGTATTTAGTCCCTCGTGTCTCTGTTGTCTCATTATAATCCTTCAACTCTACGATTTATCTCAGTATAGTCCCTCGATATATAGTTTTAGTTAACTTTAACGGAATCTATTATTGACTTATTGTTAGATGAAACATTATATTTTTATAATTATTTGTAATAATCTATAAATAAATTAGCAAATACTAGAAAAATGTATATAATTGAATTAGTTCTTTAACTATTAACTTGAGATCATAAAAAATATAAATAATTTTTTTGATAGAGAATGCATGTAGATTATGATTATTTAAATATATTTATAAATTCAAGTTATATCCACAAAATAAATGATTCTCTTTTTATTAATATAAATTAATACACTACAAAAAAAAATGTTTTAAATAATAAAACAAAGCTAACGATTGGATTATTTGTCACAAGAAATGATTTCTTGTAACGAAAGCCGGATATTGTCACGCAAAATTCAATTTCTGCTAACGAAGCGAGATATTTGTTACAAAAAGAGTATTTTCGTTACAAAAGGTCCAGTTTTCGGTAACAACAAGCAAGCGTAGTTACATAAAATGAATAATCGTTACCAAAAGAATTCTTTTTCGTGACAAAAAATAACATTCATTACTAATAATATAATATTGTCACAAAAAGAATATACTTTTGTGACAAATATAAACTTGTTACAAGATTTTTCTATTTTTGTTTTTACATTAATTTAGGCAAACTTAAGATTTAAAACCTGGGCATTTCAATTGGGAAAGGAGAACAAAAGAACAGGGCTATTAGGGTTTTCAATTTTCACACACCATCGTCCTTTCCAATTTCCACTACCGCATACCGAAAAGGTTTGCAGCATCATGTCGACCACCAGTTTTGCAAAGATAATTTGGCGAAGCAACAGCGGTAACAACGATTGGGCAAATGGACAACAGCAATTTGATGAAGCGGTAGCAACATCGAAGATAGAGCAAATGGGCAGCTGCAATTTGAAGAAGCGGCATCGACGATTGGGCAAACATCAAGAACAATTGGGAAAATCGGCTATTTAAGGTATAGCTAGTTTTTTTTTTTTTTTTTCTCTCAATCAACTCCCCTGGGTGATTAAAAAAAATATTACCTTGAAAAAACTCTGATCTAGATGCCTATTATTTTCCCTTTCAATTTTGGTTGTATGAATTAGAATGTGTGTGAATTCTGAGAGGAGTAGATTAGGGCAGAAACTTAGAGTATAATTTTGGGTAAATTGCACTTTACCCCCCTGTGGTTTCAGGGTTTGGCACTTCACCCCCTGTCATATCAATTTAAGCACTTTACCCCCCTGGGGTTGACAAATTGTAGCGGCCGTCTGTTATTCCGTTAAAGTTAACCGCAAGTGTGCTTCACTCGCCCTAAAATGGCGTGGTTGAGATTTTCTCAGCTGATTTTTTTTGTATATACCCATCTTACCCCTTTTTCATTTAATATAAACCTCTTCCACTTCCTCATTTCCAAAGCCTTCTTCTCCACTTCTTTCTTTATTTTTAGGGTAAATTACAAACACCCCCCTGAGGTATGGTCAAATTACAAAAACACCCCTCTTGTTTGAATAATTACAACCACCCCCATCAACTCATCAAATTTAGTGGAATCTTCGAGATTATATGGAATATTATCACTTTTGTACCCGTTTTATCCCATTCAAACTCTATATTATGAAGCAAGATGATCATAATATGTGATTTTTAGCTTGTATATATCAGTTTGTGGTGCATCGGAAACTGTATTTTTTACACAAAAAGAGTACAAACTAGATCACATTTCACGGAATCTAGATGACTATGTTGAATTTGGCACCATAGAGGTGGAGGTCTAAGAAAAAATCATAGTTGAGGGGGGTAGATGTAATTATCCAAACAAGAGGGGGATTTTTGTAATTTGACCATACCTCAGGGGGTGTTTGTAATTTACCCTTATTTTTATTTTTGTTTCCCCATGTCTTCTTCAAGCAGCAGCAGGTTTGGAGAGCCTCAAAATATTGATATTCGCTACAACGGGAAGGTATGTTTTAGGTGTGGCCAAAAAACACTCATAAAAATTGTGGAAACAGAGGGTAAGCCCTCTAAGGGGCGATTATATTTTGTATGCCCTAATGTAACTTGTGGTTTTCAAGGATGATGCAATCTCTATGCACTCAGTGGCAACCCAATTATCATTGGCAACCCAACTGCAACAACAACATCAAGGGCTGGAGATGAATTTGAGCAAATGATTGTTGCCATAAAGACAAGGGTTGAAGTTGTTGAAGCTAAACAAGAAATGATGAAGCAAGTGTTGTTTGGATGTCTTTTTTTGTTTTTCATTACAGTTGGTATTCTTGTTTGTAAGCTTTGAAATGTAAACTATTATTAATGGCAAGTAGTACCAATTTTTATCAATGAAATGCTTTGAAATATATATGCTGTGAAATGTGAACATATAGGCTTTAAATTGCTCTGTTTTAAATACATAACACAAAATAACAGTGCAAATGCAAGTTCAAAAGAATGGCTATGTTTTAGCCAATACATACCACAAAAAAGAGAAATGCACTGTTAAAAAATAATGGCTCTGTTTTAGCCAATACAGACCACAAAAAAGAGAAAATGCATTATTCAAAAATAAAAGTAGCTCTGTTTTAGACAAAAAAAAACCCAAAAAAATCACCAAAAAAGCTTCATAAAAAAACCAGGGCATCCAAACTGGTCTCTTCTTCACTGTCTCTTGTGTTTTTCTTTTTTTTCCACCAACAGCTGTTCTTTTGCTTCCACCAACAGCTGTGCTTTTGCTTCCATCAACTCTAGTTGTCTTTGATCTTTGGAATAATGCACCATTAGGGCCATGTAATAGTGCTGGCTGTGAAGCAGGCTTTTGAGAGAATGGATTCTATGAAAGAAAAGAAGTTAAAGTCAGATTTAATTCAAAAAAATGCAAGTATTCAAAAAACTGAGTAAACTAACCTCAAAAGTGGATTGAGAAACATGAGGTTGTTGAGAGGAACTTGAATTAGGTACAGATGACTGTTGCATTGAAGGACTTGGTGCAAATGAATTCTAAAACAAACAAATTAAATTGGTCAAAGATAGTAGCTGAGATTTAAATGCTGGAAAAATTAACATAAAATACAACAAACACATTAAATTAGTCAAAGATAGTAGCTGAGATTTAAATGCTGGAAAAATTAACATAAAATACCTGAAAAGGAGTCTGAAAAATTTCTCCCTTTTGAGGGGGTGCTTTTCTAGGAACTGACATCTTATTAACTCTAGGAGTCTATGTATTTTTTGGCTGCAATCAATGAATACAAAACTCAATTAAACATATAAAAGTAATATAGAACTAAAATAAATAAATAAAATAAAATAGAAATAATAGAAAAATTACCTTATGCAGCTTAGAATTAGGATGCATTTCTCCCTTGCATCCTCTTTTATTGTGACCAACCTTCAAGCACCTAGCACATGTCACTGGCAAATTCCTTCTTGAAACCTTGGTTGGATCAGCTTTTCTAGTTTCTTGTTCATCAGCTGTCTTGTTTCTTTTCTTTTTTGGCCTTCCAGCTTGTTTTTTGATAACTGGAGGCAGTAGTTGTGGCAGCCCAGACTTCAAATAGTCATGCTCCCCTGGAACTGGAAAGACTTGAAAGTTGTAAGTGGCCAGGTAAGCATCTCTAGTGTAACAAGAATGCACATAATCCTCTGGTTGATGCTTGTTAAGATAGATAGCACTAACTACATGCTTGCAAGGAATCCCACTCACATCCCACATCCTACATGTACATGTTCTTGTTTCAAGATTGACAGAGCATTGCCTAATATTAGGCCCCTCATGACACTCCACCTCAAACACCATTCCTCCAGACCAAGTAGGAAAGCAATTAGCACTTGCTTGTTTAATTCTCTCCAATTTCTTGAAAATATTTGGACCAATTTTTCCCTCATGCTTCAGCATACCAGTTCTCTTAACTTGAAACCTGACCATTAAAGATTTTCTGATCCACTCCAGCATTGAGATGATGTGCATATCTCTGGCATCAATAATGTAGTTGTTCCAGCTTTCATTCATGTTGTTGACAAGAATATCACATTTTGCGCTTGGGCTGAAATGTGATCTGGCCCAATTTTCAGGATTAGCTTTCATTAACCACTGAAATGCACAGCTGCTTTCCTCACCATTCACAACTGTTGGTGGATCAACTTTCTTGATTTCATCCATATAGTACTTCCAGTCATTCAAATTTGCTGTGGAGGCTGCTTTCCAGAATAAATCTTTCAGCTCTTTCCCTTTGTATTTCTGTTTGAAGTTGGCATACATATGCCTAATGCAGTATCTATGCTCAACACCTGGCATCAGTTCATTCATGGTCTCAACTAGGCCTTTTTGTCTGCCAGAAATGAAGACCCATCCTCTTTCTTGAACTTCCCCCATGTCTCTAAGAAATTGAATTACAAACCATGTCCAAGTCTGTTTGCACTCAGATTCTACCACAACTATTGCAAGGGGAAACAAATTGTCATTTCCATCCCTGCAAATAGCACTTAGAAGCTGACCTCCAACTGCTCCTTTGAGAAAACAGCCATCCAACCCTACTATTGGTCTACATGCTGCCAGATATCCACTCTTTTGTGCAGCCAATCTAGCATAGAGTCTTAAGAATCTAGGCTGAGTACCATCTTCACCAGTAGTTTGAATCTTGAATCAACTTCTTGGATTATGGTGAAGCACAGTTGCACAGTAATCTCTCAATAATGCAAATTGTTTCTGTATGTCTCCCTTCACAATCTTCTTTGCTTTGTTCTTTGCTCTGTAGCACTGCCACCTACTAACTTCTACATTCAAATCCTTTCTTACTTTTCTTTTCATTGAGTTGACTTTCATCTCTCCATTGTCTCTCAAATCATCCAGATACTCCTCAACTAAGTATCTGGAATTCACTAGATGATTATCATGTTTTCTCCCACATTTGTGTTATGATATGAAGGTCTTGATCTGGAATGTGGATGTATTGCCAATAGGAGATGCATGTATTCTCCATCCACAATCCTCCTTACACTTGGCAGTAATCTTCTTGTTCTCATTCTTTATGTATGTGATGTCATGGCCTCTCAGTACATTCCATCTAATCATGGCTCTTCTAAATACTTGTGGTGTAGAAAACTTTAGTCCAACAAACAAATTTGGATTCTTCATACCAGTAACCTCATTAAATTCATCAGACTTTTCACCTTCAGAATCAGTACTCCTCAACTCTTCTGGATTTTCAGGATCTTCACAATCAGACCACAACTCTTCTACATTCACATCAGGACCTTTACTTTCAACTGCTGGAGCTTTTTCTGTCACAAAGATGTCATCATTTGGCATCTCTAAACCATCACAAACCAGCTAGGAACAGAACTGTGTACAGATGGTGGTCTATCTTCATCATCTTCATCTTCCAACTCTTCATCTTCACTTTCTACACCCACTGTTTGCTGATTTTCTTCAACTTGACTAGACTTTACTTTCTCACTAGTAAGCTCTTCATAAACTTCATCAATAAGGTCTTCAAATTCTATCCAAGGTTCAAGAACTGGTTCAACAACTGGTTGCACTTGCACTTCAATATTTGGCTCAGCTTTTTTTTCAACTTGTTCTGTAACATACAGATGACATCCAGTCCTTCATAAGCATTAACCGTAGCAGCAACATCTGCATCCTCCTTCAATGTACATAAACCTGTATCCAAAGTTTCCCCAGCCACTCTGTAGTATAACAAACATGCATGCCTGAATCCCAATTGAGCTTGGTATAGCTGCTGAAAATACAAATAACACAAGATGCCTCTGTCTTCAACTTCTACAAACTCCACTTTCCCTCCAACATACTTAATGCTAGGTTTCCACATAAATTTTCCCCCATAATGGAATTCTATAGTAACAGGGGTTCTGCAATCAATAAAGAATAGATAAGAATATTATTTTATGGAACAATAAGAAACAAAAGACTGTTGTTTTAGGGAACAGTAAGTCACAATTTAGGAATAAGAAATGGGGGACCATTCTCATAATCAATAAAAAATTGAATAGGGGACCACAATACACAATAAAGAAACCAAACCAAACACATTGAAAGAAACAATTGAAACAATAAAATAAGGGCAAAATCTTACTGGATTATTTTGAAAATTAGGGCTTTGAGCCATATTACAAAAAAATGTAAAATTTCGGACAAGAAGACTTTGGCATCCCCCAGATTTAACGAAATAACAAAATAAATCAAATGAACAATCAACAAACAAAGGATTAAAGTGAAAAACTTACATGGGATCTTCCATAGCAATTTCGCCCTTCCTCTACAACCAGTTTATGCGAAGCCTTGGTTCATCTATTGTCGTAATCCTCTTTGAATCCTAATTATGTGAACTACTGGTTCAAATCAGTCCAAGATTTGTCGAAAATATTCTGAATTTTAGGGGAACGGAATTGAGAATTGTATTTGGGGAGAAATAAAATGAATAGGGTAAATGGGGATCGTGGTTTTCACCTGTAAAAAGTCAGAAAATAAAAGGGTATTTCAGACATTAGCCAGTTTCCGTTACTCAAATAGACGGCCGCTACAATTTGTCAACCCCAGGGGGGGTAAAGTGCTTAAATTGATATGACAGGGGGGTGAAGTGCCAAACCCTGAAACCACAGGGGGGTAAAGTGCAATTTACCCTATAATTTTGGTGATTTTCATACCAATTTCCATGCCTTCTCTTTAGAAGCTATTTTGAGAAATGCAAGGAGATAACTAGAAGCAGGTTGAACTTGGACTAAGTTAAATTTGAATATCGACGCGTCAAGAAGTAAGTGTTTGTACTCAGTTTGTTTATCTTACTTTTTACTCTTGCTTGATGTAGTTGATTTTTTTTTCTCACTTTGTGCTATCAATTTATGATTAGTTTACAAATTACAGTGGTGTTTTATGTATTAGAAGACTTGTTATGATTAGTGGAGCATGGTTAGTGTGGAATAACAGTTGCTCTCAATTTAATTCTTATAGCTGATCTTAAACTCACAATGTGCAATTTGCTGTGTTATGTCTTACTGTTAGTTGGTTTCTTAAGAACTTAAAGTTTTAACTCCCTCGTGCCACTTAAATTTGTTATACATCACTTGCTTTACGATGACCGGGTTGGATAAACAGATTCGATTTTTATGATTGTTTGTGCCTTGTCACAATGCTTTTTTATTTATAGTATATGTGTTTTCTTACGAATTATATATGATTTTGTAGTTGGAATAACTATTTTTTTTCAATAGGAGTAGATAGGCAAAGGAAAAACCATAATGATAGCCTATGTATGTCTGTGCATGTGTGGTTACTTAATTTGAAGTTCTGGAATACAGTGTTGAACTTGGTGCTTCAATAACTGTTATCGTGTTAGCTTTTATAGATAATCCATATGCAATTAGTATTGAAACTTCTGCTCTTTTAGCAATAATTTTAGTTCTCATAATTATATTTCTTAATTTCCATGTTTGTCCATTAGTAACAGTATTACATTCTACATGAAATAAAATTTGAATTACACTTGTGTATGCAGGCCTTTGGAATAAATACAATGGTGGATGGTGCAATATGAAGTTGCAACAAGTAAAAAATTCAAGGTACTACTACCATTGATTTCAGGTTATATTGATATCGACTTTTCTCTTAAGTATTCTCTCGGTTGATCTCCTTGAATTGGGGCTTACACTTGCTGCTTTTAGTTATATATTCCTGAATTTTGGTTACGCTTGTTGCTTCTAATTATGGTAAAATTGTGTTACTTTGTTGATGGCAGTTCCTAAATATTGATATAGTACGAAATTACACTTTGTGCTAATGTAGTTCTAGTTTTTATTTGCTTGCATGAAATATTACTGTGTGAAAAGTAGAAGAAATTGTCTTTAAATAAATCTTAGCTTAAATGGAATCATTAGGCATTCCGTGAGTTTGACTTGAATGAGAAAAAATAGTTTATCGTGTTGGTGCAATTACCTGGAATCTATTATTTTTCATCTGCAGTCACTTATTATTTCTATTAGCATTCATTACAGAACATATATATAAAACGGAGTTGATGTGAAGAAATACACGGTGTACGAGAAGAGACGAAGGAGTTGATTATAATGTAAGTAAATATTGACATTCAATTATATGATCTCATGATAATATACATATTTTCCTAATTTTTAATTTGTTCTATGTATAGCGTTTATTCTTAATATTGTTTATGTGTCTTGATGATTTAACAACATTAAACCCTCTTGTATTTACAGATTATTGGAGTAAATACGATAGACAATACGGTATGAAGTTTTACAACTTAGCTTGGATTTTGATCGTATTGGCCATAAACTTTGAAATATATTGCAACATGTTATCTTATTTTACTTTTGAAACTTATATATTTTCTGTTGAAGGATGTATTTTTTTTATTTTTTTTTTGCTAGTTGGGATATATACTTTTTAATTGTAAATATGATTTTTGAGGCAATTAATTTATTTCAGGTTTACAAGCCATTATCGAAAACTATATGAAAATATAAATATCATAATATTAATAATAATTATTACTTATTGTCATAGTATTTGTGAAAAAATTATATAAGGCTAAAATAAAATAATAATTATGGGCATTTGCGAGGACTAGTTTGTCATACTAAGTATTTGTGACAAATTTTATTATTAAAAATATATATCAAATAATATTCAAAATTTGACTATTGGTAACGAACGTTGTTTTTGTAACGACATAAAATAGTATTGGTAACGATCATGTTGTTACCATAGATTAAGATATTGTAACGAACCAACTTTATTTACCAATGTATTGGTAACGATTACAAAAAACTTGTCGCCAAAACTTTTAGCGTCGAGCTTTAGAGGACAATACAAAGGTAACAAATTTGTCGTTACTAAAGGTTTTAGTGATACAATAAGTATCTATTGTGACAAATAGTTTCCTCGCCAGAAGTGCATTTTCTTGTAGTGATATTTCGTAAAAATAGTAGTTTCTTTATGTTATATTTTTGTAATTTATATATTTATTGGTTGCAAAAATGATATTTATAAAAAAAAATTATACCAATGAAATATTCCATTTGTTCTTAAAAAGACTCAGTTAAAATTAATAAGTTTATACACCGAGCAATGATAATTAAATGAATTATAGAGATGAAGGATACAAATAAGATAATTGATATGTGATGAACTAAATTGGGACTAAATGTCAACATGAGGGACAGTAAATTAGATTTGGTCAATTATTTATAAAAATATATAAAGTATGTTATAATATATAAATATTAAATAGTATATAAAAAATGAACGAGTGCAATAGTCATTTAGTAGTTGAAATAATAATTAATTGTTTTGTTAGAATTTAATTAGTTATTCAAAATTCGCCCCAATTTTAATCATTTTGGTCCCTATGGAATTTTCAATGGATAATCTAATGAGAACCGACCAATAGGAGGGGTAGAGGCAGACTACCTTATTCTATTAGTACCGAGACTAGGTCTAACCCTAGTGGGGTACAAAGTTGCAAAATAAATCATCATTTGATTTATCATTTCTCTCTTTTTAATTCAAGAAAAAAATTAGGAAATTCTTTATTAGATTTATCTCTTTAATTGACTTGTTATTACTTAAGATTGGAATTATCTTCGATATTAACACATCTTGATATGATAATTATTTATTTGTGAATACCCATAGAAAATATTTCGGGTATTACCAGAATCATGACCCAGATCTAACCATGTGGTGGAAATTGCCGGAATCTTTGTGAAATTTTCGAATCCTCGGAGCCGAACAAATATGGTGAGATCCCGGTGCGCAAATGGCGGGCGGCTTGACGAGCTCCAGGTGGGAGACTTAGTGATCATTTGTGTGGTCCGACCTATGTGGTCCTTTGTTCGAGGCTTGGTGCGCGAACAAAGATGGTGCTGAGTCTCGGGCGCAATTTGAGGGGAGGCTGGGTGGTCAGACCTATGTGGTCATTTGTGTTCGGGAGGGATTGTTTCCCCTTTTGGAGAAACCCAAGAGCAAAACCAATTGGGTCCGGCCCAATTTGACAATATCATACCAATGTGGAGTTTGTGCTATTCTCTCGGTGCCTAACAACGTGGATACAATTCTTGGTATTTCCTCAATTTTCATACCAACAACCAAAGATCTTTCAATACACGAATTGAAGACATTGTTCAAATTGTGTTTGAATTCGAATATACGTTTAGATGTTTATTCTACTTCAATCTAACCCAAATGATGTGGGATCACTTACTTGAAGTAAGTGATCTGTTTGAAAGCGTATTTACTGGATCACTAATCCAACATTGAACTTATATGTGAAATATTATATGTTGCAAAAATATCATATAAGGTTAAACCAATTAAATTATTCTATTAGAATTTATTTAGATTGAGCTTTAAATGTGGTCTAATCAAGTGTGTGCCTTTAATGCGTAGAGACATAAGAGTAATTTTATTATAATGATGTATTAAAATAAAATTATACAAGATAGTCGGCCCATTAGATTATTATCCAGCTTTGAATGTGCGGAAAAATCTAGAAAATCCATGATCGTTCGGCATCAAGCTACAGATTAAGATACGCTTCCAATTTATATTTATGCACGTAATTCTTAATGAGCGACATGACACTTCCATGGTTTTGGTTCATATTTTTTTTTTGTTTTTTGTTTTTTGTTTTCAATTGGGTTGGGGCATTATTTTGGACTTTTGGTCCCATTGGAATGGACCAATTAATTATATCAATAGAGTAAGAGTTTGTTTAGTTCATTTTCTAAATCAAAACTAATTGTTTTGACCATATTTATGTATAAGGATTAAACATGTTCAAATTGATTGCACTTTCATATTGACCATACGAGTCAAATAAGGAAGTGGCCGTTTCTATTGCACATTTTTATTACTAAGTTTGACCAATTATATTTGGAGGCAAATAATTGGTGTTTGTTATGAAATAAATAAAACTATGGTGTTTAAAAGAATTACAAATTGAAATAAATACTCTTTCCAAATGTATAAACAAAATAAATGTAATAAATTTAAAGAAAATTGAAGTCAAAACTTGATCGAAAGTGATTTATTGTTTTGTTGCTATTGCTGCTGTTGTTATTGTTGTCCCGCAATTACATATATGCACCGGATAACTTCATTAATATACATCAACACACAAATTACATGAAATATATAAACTGCACTGAAAAATCGATATCAATTTTTCCTTAACAACTAGTCCCCTACCACAATTTTTTTAAAAGGGTGCCCTACTACTTTATTGATACATTTATTCATGATGCTATAAATAATATGCAATACTAATTACTAATCTTTTATTTTTTTGACTATTAAAACAAAAGTGTACAATATATTACTTTCTAAGTTTCACCAAGTTAGATAACAAAAAAATTCAAGTACTTCACTACATTACCACCCTCAATTCCTTATATAAAACCTCTTCAAGAATCCAATGCAATTCCCAATAATTTTCACATTGTTAATAGTAATAAATAATAAATAAAAAATAAAATAAAAACCCAAAAGTAAATTTTCCAAATTTCCCAAAACACCCTCCAAGTCAACATCACAAGTCAACTTTCATGAAAACGAACACTGTCAGCCACCTGCAAACCCATTTATGTCATTTTCCATAGCCACACTAGCAAAAATTCCAGTGTGATTCACTCCACCTTTGCTAAACAGCACCAGCACCAGCACCGCGCACGTTAGCCTGTCTGCGCAATCATTACGCCTTTTGTTACCATGCATTTAAATCCCCCCTCTGCTTAACCTACGCCACCCCCTCCTCTCTCTCTCTCTCTCTCTCTCACTCTGACACCACTACCATTAATTGGATCTGCAACTCTACAACTCGCCTATACATACACCCCCATTCTGTATCTATACCCGATCCGTGACTGTTCATTATTATATATAGATATATATATAATTATATATATACATACACTCTAATTAACTGGCGCTGGGAGTTATCATATGAAACATCTTCAGAATTATCGCCCGATCGATAACCGATTGGGTTTGGAAATCGTAGGGTTTTCCGGCTCAAATACGCCGTCGTTTCGGAGATCGGAGTCGAATTCCGGCCGCATTTTCTCTCGGTGAAGCATGAATCCGCTGTGCTGCATTGCTCCGGTGTCGGCGGAGAAGGATCGAGCTGTGGTGAGGTCGGAAACGCACAGTCAGGAGCTTGTGTTCGGTGGTGGCTTCGGTGAGGAGAGCGTGGGATTTAACAGCAGTAGCAATGTGATTCTGAGGCCAGTGAGTTTCAATTCGAGGAAGAGTTCGTCGACAAACGCCGGTGGTGGCGGCGGCGGAGGAGGTGATTTGCAGGGTGAGAAATGCGAGGAGAACGACGATGTGAAAGCTGTGGTTGGGATTTTGTATAAATGGGTTAATTATGGGAAGGGATGGAGGGAGAGGTGGTTCGTGCTGGAAGATGGCGTGCTGTCGTATTATAAGGTGCACGGCCCTGATAAAATTGTCGTGAGCTCGGGTAGGGAGAAGGGGGTGAGGGTGATTGGGCAAGAAAGCTGGAGATATATGAGGAAGGGTAGTAGTGGGAATGGCAGCGGCGGTGGGAATGCTCTTAGGGTGAACGGTGTTGGGCTGGGGAAGCAGTGGAAGCCATTTGGGAAGATACACTTGAAGGTGAGTGGATTTCTTTTGTTCGTTATTCGGAATTTGATCTGTAATTGCTGTTTGTTACCTTGTATGGCCTATTAAAGATATGAGGGATTTTTTTTTTGTTGCAGTTGATTCATGTCTTCTAGTGAAGAGGCAATGTAATCTAAATGTTGTGTATGTTTGACTAAACAAAATATTTATTTCTATGCCTGTATTAGAGAACTTTGCTTGTTGGTTTATAGGATTGTGGTTGGATATGGACAGCGCGTAACTATTTGGCGAAAAGATATTGAGTAAATATGGTAGTCGTTAAGCATTTTGATGATGCGTGGTTAGTGCAATAGGCATGCTAATGCTAATAAGATGGATATTTTATTCTTAGAATCTATATGATTTTGCGTTCATGATTTTACGACATTAGTAAAGTAATGAGTTGGGACGATGTGGTTCACACAAAGTGGCTTGTGATAGGGAATTATGGAGCTGCCAGGTACTATGACTGTATGACACTGACCAATCTAGTTTAGATTTTCACTCTTGCAGGCTTTTTTTTTAAATTTTATTTATAGGTCTATAAATACGCCAATGCAACAGCTTAAAATTGGGAAAACTAATCATGATTCGGTCTACACCCTTTGAGTTATAGATACCTTTTTTCCTTGTTATGAATACTAAACCAGTGCAAGCCAAATTTCAGTTCCCTTTAGGAATGGTAGCTGTCTTTGAATAAATGTGGACCGAGTCAGAGATCTGCATGGCCTATGTGCGCCTGTGAAACGTAAATGGAATTATGGCATATAGATGTTGCTATTTATGTTTTTTTCATTATGCATGCAGCATTCACTTTTTCTTCATTATTTATTCTTGAACAATATCTGGTTGAAATAGTTGCTTTAAAGCTGGTTTTTAAGCTTTTATCATGTGAATTTTTAATGGAATATATTTGCATCCGTGGCTTCATTATATGAAAAAGATTCAAACTATCGTCATAATACACTCTATTTGTCTAGGCATTAAACACCGAATATGTATAACAGGTTTCTTCAGTACGGGCCAGCAAGTCAGATGATAAAAGACTTTCCATATTCACAGGAACAAAAACTCTCCACTTGCGTTGTCAATCCAAAGAGGACAGAGCTTCCTGGATAGAGGCTCTTTTGGTTGCTAAAGATAAATTCCCTAGATTATTGACAAGCAGTGACTTAGCACCTTCTGAAGACTTTGTGGTTTCAACAGAGAAGCTACGGTCGCGGTTAATCCAGGAAGGCATTAGTGAGACTATAGTAAAAGACTGTGAGTCTATAGTTATAGGTGAATTTGCTGAGATGCAGAACCAATTGAAGACTATTCAACTCAAACACATCTTGCTGCTGGACACATTAAGAAGACTGGAGGTTCGCGCTTCATCCTTTTGCTTTTGAAGTCATTTTATTGAGATAAAAGTGTTCTATAACTTAACTTACAAACACAGAGACTTGTGTTGTAGTGATTGAAACCAACTTTGATGTTCCTACGTAATAACTATGATATTTTGGTTGAAATGCACTCGGATATGATGAAGAATTTGAATATCAGTCATTTTTTTTCTAATGAACACAAGATGCCTCTTTGTCTTGTTGCTATAATCAGTCACATTATGCGCCATTGCTTAGTCCTACTCTGCACATGCAACTGATGCAAGTGTCTCCTAAACTTTAGTGGCCATTCTAATTTTTCCAAACATGATATTCATTTTACTACATCAGGTGTTGGATCCGTCAAACATCTATTTACTCGTTTTTTTCCTCATTGAGATCCTGGAGTGTTTAAGGGTTTTGACACCAGTTATTTTGTTATGACAGACAGAGAAGATAGAATTGGAAACAACTGTAGTTGATGAAACAAAGGGACGGGATTCTTGCTGTGGACAGGGAAATAGAAGGTTCAGTGGTCAGTTCAGATTCCATACTTTCATGCTTATTTAATAATCAAAATGTTCTCCAAATAATAGTGTTCACATAAAATTTGATTGGCTGATTTTTGTTATTGAAAACTGTTGCAGATTTCTATTCAGTCATGTCTGAAGGTAGTGCTAGTGACTCGGATGGAGATAATGGAAGTCGATATGGAGTAGATGTTGAAACAGATGATGAGGATGGAATCTTTTTTGATACAAATGACTTTTTATCTGCCGAATCTCTGAGAAGTGCTTCCTATCGAAGTAGAGATAATCCAATGTATGCTTATAGCCCCTGGACTAATGAAAAAGAAACTTCTTTTTCTGGTCATTTAAGAGAAGTTGGAATCGATGTAAATGCAATTGAATTTCCATACATCAATAGAAGGGACAATTTACCAGAACCTAAGGAGAAAGAGAAGCCAGTTGGGCTTTGGTCAATTATTAAAGATAACATTGGCAAGGACTTGTCAGGTGTTTGTCTTCCTGTCTACTTCAATGAGCCTCTGTCCTCTCTGCAGAAATGCTTTGAAGACTTGGAGTACTCAAATCTTGTTGACGGAGCCTTAGAATGGGGAAAACAGGTTAGCTTATCATCTACGCTTACTTCTTCGAGGAAAAAAAGTAGTTTGTTAAAAGGATGATTTTCTAACTACATCTTATTGACAGTTGATTTACTGGGCAAATACATTGATTGTTGTAGTATTTGTGCTGATTGTAGTTATCTTATTGACCATTTCTTTAGTTTTTTGCATCTATAGCAGTCTTAGTAAATGTTGTTTTTTTCAGATATAGTGATTTGTGACCTTACAAATGCAATTAAATTGATTTACATTAGCATTGGCGTGAGACAAACTGATTGTTAACCAGTTGATTAGAGTGGACTAAAAGGTTACCAACGATCCCAGAATGTTATAGTCTATATAATTCACACTCTGTAATTAGCTAGACATCTCAGTTATCTAAGTCCAATGGTCGAATGCGTAGTGTATTAGATGTACATTTGAAATGGCAACAATAATGAGAACTCAGTAGCAAGCTATATCAGCTTACCAATTATGTTAAGCAAACTTGGGAATGCTAGACACTGCACATAGATTATCTCGTTGAAACTTTCAGGTCATTACACCAACATGCTCCTGCTGCACTAGGTTTCCAGGCTTTCATTTAATGATTTTATAATCTTATGCCTGATCTTGTAAACAAATGTGATGTAGCTGTGATGTGGCCTGGGTTATCTAGTCCTCCAGAAACTTTTGAAAATAAATAGATGGCTACTTTGAAATTTGTTTCTTAGAGTAGATAAACGGCAGAATGATGCTTGTCTCTAATGACCTAAGCCTTTTAGATGACGAGTTCATTTAACATGCTAAAAGGCAAAATCAAGCAAAAGGTCCTACATTTAATCTTACTGCTATCCATTCATGCAAAAGTGCCACGTGCAAGGCTTCAGTTTGAAAAGTCCACGTATTTTGTTTTGAGTCTTTTGACAATTGAACTGGTAATACAATTCTTCCTTATCCTACTGAGAGGCGTATGAAGATCTCCCTTCTCGCTTCTCATACCCTGCAACCTTTTCAATTGTTGTTTCACATTTTTTATTGACAGTCATAGGACTTGCTGCCTAGAATGGATCACATATCAATTGATTTTTTAGCCCTTTGATTTGTTGACTTATAAAAAATCTCCTTTGTTTGTGCAGGGAAATGATTTGATGAGAATTCTTAATGTAGCAGCTTTTGCAGTGTCTGGTTACGCATCAACAGAAGGCCGGCAATGTAAACCCTTCAATCCTCTCCTAGGTGAAACCTACGAGGCCGATTATCCGGATAAGGGTTTACGATTCTTCTCTGAAAAGGTTCTGATTTCAATGAAACTTCTATATGTCAGGGATTTGGATTTGGATTACTCATTATTCTTTTCCTCAGACAGTATAAAGCATACCTTTTGATTTCTATTCGTAATCCCAGCCTTTATCTGATTAGCTTATAAATGTGTCTTCTAATTTGTTTCTTTTATACGAGAGATAACAAATCTTGATTTTGGAGTGTTTGCAAATCTTGATTTTGGAGTGTTTGGTCAATAATTTCTTTTGGCGTTTCAGGTTAGTCATCATCCAATGGTTGTTGCCTGCCATTGTGAGGGCAGAGGTTGGAATTTTTGGGCAGATTCTAACCTTAAAGGCAAGTTCTGGGGCCGTTCCATTCAGCTTGATCCTGTGGGGGTTCTTACTCTTCAGTTTGAAGATGGGGAGACATTTCAGTGGAGCAAGGTCACTACTTCTATATACAATATCATTATTGGTAAAATCTATTGTGATCATTATGGCACCATGCGCATAAAAGGCAGTGGTACTTACTCTTGCAAGCTTAAATTCAAGGAGCAGTCTATCATAGACCGAAACCCTCATCAGGTAAATTTCTGATCTTAATTCTTAAAAATTATTCGAGTTATTTTTTAAACAATTCCCCTGATCTTAATTCTTAAAAATTATTCGAGTTATCTTTAGGTCTTCTGGGAGAAACATAAAAAAAGTTGGTACGTCAAGATGAGTTCACATGACATATGCCTCAATTGTAATCGCTTTTCACCATTAAACTTACACTCCTCATTTTCACCGAAACCAAATGGCAATGTCATGCCTTTGGGAAGCCCCAGGAGGGTCATTTATTTAATTAGTTAGTCTCACTGGATTTGGCAAGATTTATTGTTACATTAGTACTTCTACAGTCATTGTTCGTAAATTTATTTTTCGCTTCATCATCTCCTGCTACCTTATCTGACGAAGTGCAGTAACTCGGTAACTTAAATGAGCTTGCCAATCCCCATTGTACTACTGTTTGTACCATATTATGTTATTTTTGGTACTGTTCTCTTCCATTGACTGTACGATATTTTTAGTTAAATATTGTCTCTCTACACATATAACACATTAATCCAATGTGTCAAACAACAGGTACATGGATTTGTGCAAGACAATAGAACTGGGGAGAAAGTCGCAGTTTTGCTAGGGAAGTGGGATGAAGCAATGTATTATGTGATGGGAGATCCAACTACAAAACCGAAGGGATACGATCCAATGACAGAAGCTGTGCTACTGTGGGAAAGAGATAAATCTGTCACCAAGACAAGATATAATCTCACACCATTTGCAATATCTTTAAATGAATTGACACCTGGTTTACGGGATAAGCTGCCACCAACCGACTCTAGATTGAGACCCGATCAAAGGCATTTGGAGAATGGAGAATATGAGCTGGCAAATGCAGAGAAGCTAAGACTTGAACAATTGCAGAGACAGGTGCATATTTAGTTTCAAAAAAAAAAGTCATCTATTAACATTTTGAACATGTATAAATTGTACTTTGCCGTATATTTCGTTTAGGTTTTCCATCCAAAAGTTGACGATAAGCAGTCACCAAACATTTTCTGTTCTGCACTCTTTACATGTTCAATACCCCCAACTAACTTATCTACTGCTCATGCAAGATCATATTCTCTCCTATATTTCACACTTTATCTGAGTTTATGTATTTATTATTTTTTTTGTTAATTTTTAATTTGGTTTAATGGACGTGTGATTTATTTGGCAGGCGCGAAAATTGCAAGACAGAGGGTGGCAGCCAAGATGGTTCCGGAAGGATGAGGAAGGTTGTTACAGTTACAAGGGTGGATATTGGGAGGCAAGAGAGAAGCATAACTGGGAAGAAATTCCCGATATATTTGGACAGCCTTGTGATTTCCCAGCCTGTGTATCCGAGGAGTGAAGAAGCTCACTCAGTTTCCACAATTTTACGGAATCGAGAAACCTTTGTCCTTTAAAAGAATGATGTTGTTGACCACCAAAATTCGGCACTTAAGAAAAAGGACAAATTAAACCCAGAGGTAGTTGTTAGTTAAAATTGACTATATCCTAGTAATATGTTTGTACTTTTCTGTGGCAAAAGACATATATGGGAAGAAGTGTTTATGTACTTGATACAATTTTCTTCCAATTACAAAGCGAAAACTTTTGCAATTTCGTCCTCTCGATAAATGTAGATGCAAAGAAAACCGGAAAGTCCTGAGTTTTACTCCATTCTCGACAATTCTAGTACTGGATGCATCATCAGCAATGTAAACTCAGGATACCAAATATGGTTTCTTAAGGATAATTCCATGACACACTGTAAATGAAATTCCGGTTTAACCTATTATTTGACGAATTGCGAACTTAGAATTAACATTATTTGAAACTTATAGTAAATCCTCTCATCAAATAACATTTCACACATTCAAATGCAAATTTGTTGAGATTTCACTTATAACTCACATTTCAAAATTCATCTATCTTCACTCATTCATCTACAGTAATGAATACGAATGCACTTTCGGAGCAAATTTAATGAACTTTAATCAAAATACAGAATTTGACAACATTAGCTGGAAACATTGGTCTTGCTTAGCCTTAATCGACATAACTTATAACCTGAAAGACAAGTCGACTTAAAATATTAAATATCCGAGAAAGGGTGTTACCGACAAAATTTCATCCAGTTTCGGGATTTCTTTTTTATAATAAATATTAGTAATTGAGAAAAGAAAAATACAATACATAAAACACCAGCACATCGAATCAGAGAGGGATACATAGTCAATTTTGAAAAGTGAAAAAACATATATGAATCTATGGTAAAAAAATGGATGAATGGGAGCAGAGACTATTTCCAAGCTTTCCTTCCTCGGAACTGTGTGCTGGCTCTCCGTTTTTGTTTCTTCTTCTCCACGCGTGCTTGAGCAATCTTCTTTCTCTTTGCAACAAGCGGCATAGCTTTCTTGTGTTCCTTTTCTCGATTGCTGGAACCGCCAGTCTTTGTCCAACAAGGAAACATCAACCACACATTAGAAACAACATAAGAATCGTAAACACAAATTCGCACTCTCAACATTTACGATTTAATATGTGAAGTTGCATACAATTTAAACGAAATGAGAAAAACGAGAAAACTCAGGCTATAATGATTAAAACAAAATTTCGTACGTACCTTCTTCTGTTTTACAGCAGTCCTAGACCGGTACTTCCCTGTCTCCTCCCTCCCTTCTCTTATCAACGCCAATCTTTCTTCCTTTGTGTACTTCCTCTTTATGTGAGCCTGATAAAAGATACCACAGGGTCGATCATTTAAAAAAAAGCTAGAGAAAGAGCAAAAAAAAATCTCCAAGATCATAGTAATGTACTTAATTTGACGATTTTAAGATAACTGCATTGCCATAAGTTTCATTCTTCGACATGACCAGCCATAGTTTGAAAAACAAATTCTCATAGCTACCAAAATATACCTCAAGTGTGGAAGCATCAACCCTCTTCATGCTAAGTTTTTCGGCGCTAGGAACCTTGAATCCATGCTGAGCTAACACTGACCTGGCATCTCTCTTAGCCTAACAACCAAAGGTCAATTACATCCATATAAGAATACGACTATACTAGGAAGCATCATTGTTTAAGACATCGCTCATACAAGATTAAAAGAACCCGTAATTGAAATCAACAGCTAATGCATGATTAATTCCGAATCAAGAAAATCCAAACCTTGAGCTCTTTTATTCTTTGGAAGTCCTCGTTAGAAAGAATGCCATCACTTGCGCTCGATGAAACGTTCCCATTTTCGCCAGCCAATTTCTTCAAAGCACGAAGACTATTATCAGCAGCATTGAGTTGTCCCTCGAAAGTAGAGAACTTCCTTTTCTTTGTTTTCGATTCATTGATTTCCTCTTCATCAGAACCTTCTTCGTTCTCTTCTTCAGCACTAACATCACTGTTATAATCATCTTCATCAGACGCTTCATCTTCTTCGGTGTTTCCATCACCACCGTCCATTTCTAGGTCAGAATCATCACCGTTGATTTCATCACTGCCACCCTCTTCAATATGATCAACATCATCATCGTCTTGATTGTCTCCGTCTGTAGTGACATCATCTCTCTGCCCATCTATGTCATCATCACTGCTAGCACCGTCATCTTCTTCCAATAACTCAGCGTCTGGGATATTGCTATCAACGTGCACCTCACCAAAGGCTTTAGGTCTAGCCTTTGGATTGGATGGCCTCCCTCTATCCTTTTTGACCAGTAGTGAAGGGCAAATCTGCAAAAACCTCCCGTCAGTCTTTTTGAATAAAAGATCTCATATTATTCCTAAAGTGGAAGTGGAGACGTGTGTGTGTGTGTGTGTCAGAGAGAGAGAGAGATAGAGATTTATGAGAGAGAAAGAGAGATAGAGATTTACCTCCCTAAATAAAGCAAGAAGGGCACGAGCAGCTGAAGAAACTGGTTTCTCATTTGACTTTCTATATAGCACAAGGTCTTGCAACAAATCTTCAGTCATCAACTGAAGATAAAGGAGAATGAGAAAATGACATACAAACGTCAGATGCTGTGAAAAAAGAAGGAAACACAAAAAAAGTCCTAAAACATACTTCAGGATTAAAATGGACTATACCAAAGGCATGCGAAGACATATTTCCCGCACTACATTGAGTCCAACGGTGATTGCCTGAGAAAGATTATTGGGGTGATCAAGATACAATCAACACAGAATTAATTCCTTAACAAACACAAGATTAAAAATACCTCAGGGCGTGATCGATCATGTACAAATTGATTAACTATTTGCTTAAACAATGGTTCAACTGCATCAGGTGGTACCTGGTACAAAACAATCCAAATGATTGAGTAAGAATAACTCTTCCAAAGAATGGCAACCTAATACGATAATTCATCACAAAAACAACTCCAGGAGATCAAAAGTTGGTTAAAGTTCTTAAACAAATAGAATATACCATTTCATGACAAGCCTGAACGACTGATGCAAGCAGATTTGTGACATCTCGCTGATGTGGCTGCAATTCATGTAACAAGAATTTAGTAAACATCAAACATTGCCTTCTGAATGCAATAAGTAGTACACTGACAAACCTGGACATAATTCTGAAGGTGAGGATAGAAGTTCAACAAAATCAAGTGGTGAAGACCAACGGTTCTGGCAACTACTTTAAGCATCATCATTTTCACCTGAAAGGAAGAAAAAAAAAAGGGAACGGGTGATTAGACGACAATATTTTTTACACAACAGGAAGTGATGTCAAAGTAATATAAATGAACAATAATTACCTCAAACCTTTCTTTGCTAGATTGCAGCCGAGAAAACAGCTTTTCTGCAAACCCCTGTACACAGAATTGTAGTTCAGTCTTCCACAAATCAAAGCAGATTATATCACAGAAACAACAGAATAAAGTACTACACGAACCTGTGCATCATTCAAATGGGTTAGTGGTGAGAGGTAGTTTGAGTTAGTTCCCTCAGCAGATGATATTCGCTGCTTCTTCTTCATGCTACGGACAACCCGCTCCAGTTTTGCCTTCTTTTTCTTTTTGCTTGCTGATGTGCCTTTATGGGTTGCCTACATCAGCAAACTTATATTTTAGATACTGAGCTATAAACATCTACAATAACAAAAATAATATGTTTTCCATAGTTGCCTTTACTATGCATAAACAAATCAGAAACAACACAATTGTTTCCAATAATCGTTTTGACAAAGTATGCACAATTGCTTCAATAATCATTTTCAACAAAATATTCAGGATTAGACAAAATACAAATTAAGTGCTCGACATTTTGAGTGTCTTTCTGCTATTCTGTTAAGGTCAAAGTAAGTTGGTCATGTGAGTCCAGTAATCAACCTTGTAACTGGAAGGTGAATCTCTTCGTGTTAACTTGGCATAGTATGCCCAATAAAAAATATTGATTTTCCGTAAAAAAAAATTAATAAATAAATAAATAAAGTATTCAACCTTGTAAACAGCTTCTTTATTCAATACTACTTGAGGTTGTGGGGTTGTTGGCTCATCTTCGCCAGAATCGTCACTATCATCGCCATATTCTGTCTTTTCAAAATCAAGAAGAAACGACAAGGCAGCAATCATGATCCTGAAAAATCAAATCAAAATACATTTAGAGGCCAGCATAAGTTGAAGTTAATACGAGATACAGAACACATAAAAAATAAACTACATTTATCACAACCTTGGCGATGGATGAAAACACGCCATACATATAGCATTTGCAGTCCTATCTTCGAACCAGACTTTCCTCCGATGAAGATCACACAAGGTAATAAGTGCTCTTTTTGCTTTCGCTTCATCCTCTTGCTAATTTGCCACAAATTAAAATTAGATAGCTCAAAAAAACAAAATCGGAAGTTTACCTAGTAAAATCAAAATACCTGCAACATCTTGAACAAAATATTTTGAAGTGCTCTATTCTTCGGATCATTCTTATGCTTCTGGTTCATTCTCTTAATGCTATGAATAACGTGAGAGAAAGCCAAAGTTTTCAACACCCTGTCCCCTACCGTCTGGAGCACCATGAATACCTCGAGCGTCTCCTTAATATCAATGATCTATAATACAATAAACCAATACCAACAATCATTACTTCTTAACAATACGTCTGGATCCATAACTAGTTCAAATCAATACCAACAATTCTTACGTCTTGCTAATACATGTAGATCTAGAATACAATAAATCAATGCAACCACTATCTATCTTCCACTCAGTTTTATACTATCGACTACGATAGTCCACTATTCATACATATTATACTATCAATTACGATATTCCACTATATGTATCAATGCAGTTGTAGACAATTAACAGGAAAATGTCCACATGTAGTGAACTGACATATAAAAGAAAAGCTAAATAAAGAAATGCAGAAGAAAGGAAAAAAAGAACGTACATTTCGGTTAATCAAAAGGATCAGAGCTTGTGTCACGTGCACTCGAAGACCCGATGGCAGGTTTTTGGCCGAGGATTCGAGAAACCGAACCAATTCATTTGGAAATTGGGCCAGTTCTTTCGGATAAAAGGGAGTAACGTGGGCTAGGAACATGGTGCGGTCACCCAAATCCTTAGCCACAGTAGAGTCGGAGGCAATTCCACTGACAGAGGTGAAATTCAACGCCGCTTGCTGTAGAAAAAGCTCGAGAGACGACTTGAATTGGTTGTAGATAAGGCTCAACTCCGAGTTATAGCCTTCCGGGTCGGCTTTCATTTTGGATTGCAGGGTAGGAAGGCTGAGCTTCTCGGAGCTCCGACCCGATGCGGACATCAAGTCCATCTCCAGCGGCGACGCCATCACTGAGTTTTGGTGAAAAACCCTAGAAAAAGGTTACGACGTCGTATTGAGAAAACATTCTTTTTACGTAGAGACAATTGATTATTGATGTAACGGCGGAGAATCGTTGCCGGAATAGAAGCAATCGAGAAAAAAGAAGCTACTTACAGGGCGGCGGCGATGGGCGGCGACGGTGTGAGTTGAATTGAGAGTTTGCTTCAAACTGCAAAACCCTAAACCCTCATATGAAGCAGAAAACGGCTAATCGGTAAAATTGACTGGTCGGATCGATGATATCCGGATGGGCCGGGTTATACGGTGCCGTTTAGATGATACTACACCCGGATATTATTATTTTATTAATTATCATCGTTTATTGAAGTAAATCAATTTCCATTAATTTTATATTTGGTCCCCATGTTCACAAAAAATACATTTAATCCCTCACATTTTAAAAATTAACATTTTTAGTCATTTCCGTCAATTTTTCATTAAAACTAACGGAATCAAGCGTGTATCCATCACAACCGTAACTGACGGAATAAGGGTAAATTGATTAAAATGGCCAAAAGTGTCAAATTATTGAAACATGAGAGATCAAATGTGTTTTTTATGAACATGGAGGACCAAATGTGAAATCAGTGGAAACGTAAGGGGTGAAAACTGTAAATTTCCTAAAACAAAATAAAGAATTAACATTCTTAAATTTTAGCAGTGTATAATAAAATTTCATGGGAAAAACCCATCTTTCATTTCTGTGCTACACCGGATAATTTTGAGTAAAGCAATGAGACTCCAAAAATTGCCCCAAAATTCTGCCGTCAAAATTTGTTCTATATCCCACCAGGTATTTCTCGTTTTATTTTGTATTTAATTACTAAAATACTTGCTTGTTTTAATGATTGTTCTTGTGCTTTGATTTCGTGAATTAGTACACCTCTTTCTATCAAGTGTGTCTGCGTGTGTGTGACTGTGTGTGTGTGTGTGAGAGAGAGAGAGAGAGAGAGAGTGGTTGGGGGTTCTTGAATTGTAGTTGGTGAATCAGTACACTTCTTTCTATCAAGTGTGTGTGTGTGTGTGTGTGTGTGTGTGTGTGTGTGTGAGAGAGAGAGAGAGAGAGAGAGAGAGAGAGAGAGAGAGAGAGAGAGAGTAATCCCTATCAGTTTGGGTTGAGAGGGGTTCTTGAATTGTAGTTGGTGAATTAGTATATCTTTTTCAATAAAGATTGGATTTTTTTCTTTTTTTCTGGGGAGATAATGTACAGAAGCACCTATGAATTGACAAAGTCCATTCCCATAACCCATTAACTAATTGTTAGTTTTGTATGTGTCAATGTGTGTGTGTGTGTGTGTGTGTGTGTGTGTGTGTGTGTGTGTGTGTGTGTTTAGGCATATATCTATGTATGTATTAGTTTTTGTGAGCTAATATCCCTATCACTATTTTGGGTTTGACAGAGGTTCTTGAATTCCAGTCCGGTAAACAATGATTTCGTGTCGAAATTACTCGATAGAAGGTGGGCATTGAGCAGCCCAGATGCCAAAATTAACCAGATCAAAATCTTGAATTCCAATGGGGGTCGATTAAATCTAAACGGGAATATCTCTTTTCGGAATTTTACCCAACCATGCCTCAATGAAGTGAAAAAGAACCAATCTTTTCCATCGTTCTATGTGGTTAGAGACGACTTATTGCATCCTCTCGTAAATGGTAACAAGGCGAGGAAATTAGATGCCCTGCTTCCCCTCCTCGAAGATAATGCTGTCACAGACGTGGTGAGTTTTTGCTTCGACTTTTTTTTTTTTTTTTCGGTGACTTTTTGTATAATGTGGATTAATTCTAGTAATGAAATTTCGCTTTCGAGTTTGAACTTTTTTCGTGGGGTAGGAATTGGAACTTGAATTCCGAATTCTGCCGATTCCGATCCAACAATTTCCGATTTTGGAACTGTATTTTTCATTCCGATTTCCAATTATTTTTAACGGAATTGGAATCGACATTAGATTCTGATATCGGGTCCGGTTTCAATTCCGAGAATTCCGACTTACACTTACAATATCAATTTATGCATTTTGATAATAAAAAAATTAAAAAAAAAAAAAAAAAATCGATTTTGGAACAAGTTTTTTCATTCTAATTTCCGAAATTTCGGATTCCCGATTTTTTATGGAACGGAATTGGAATTAGTTTTCCACTTCCAAAAAAAGTTGGAAATTTTCCGAATCCTGATCCGATCCATCCGATTTTCATCCCTAGGAGGACTTATTAGTACCGTTAACATTAAAACTTGTGCTAATTCTTTGTTGTTGTGTGCTTAACGAGAGTTGTTACTACGAATTAACTGAGTTTATTACAACATATATAAACTAGAGCCTGCCTTAAACAATTATGTCTGTAAAACGAAATAATTATCGTATTCGAACACTTCTAGGTAACTTGCGGAGGCTGCCAAAGTGCACACACTGCTGCGGTTGGTAATGCCACGTCACACTTAATTAACCATATAACGATGCTTCTTTAATTCTCTATCAATAAACATTTTTTAATGCAGTTTCTAATTATTATTCATTTAATTTTGCCGTTGTAATAATGCAGCCGTGTCTTGTGCCGAGAGGGGATTAAAATCGCACTTGGTTCTTCGAGGAGAAGAACCCGATATTCCGACTGGATACAATCTCGTCTCAAAATTATACGGAAACGTCGTTTACGTGCCTCGATCAATATACGCCAAAAGAGAAGAAATGCTCGCAACGCATGCTGAATCAGTTATAGGGTGCGATGGATCCATTATTTGGCTCAACGATTTAATGGAAGCTTCCTTGAAAAATCACGCGCAGGGGCAATATCGTAATTTTCTTAAATCGGATCCTTTGGAATCTCCTGAAAAATCGAGGAAGGTTGTTATCGTAAATGAAGGTGCGGGAGACGCAGTTGCCTTGTTAGGTATGTAATAAAGATGGCGTTTTTTTTTTTTTTTTAATTTTACATAACATTCTTTTATCGAGACACTCGATCTTTATGACAGGTATGATTCGGTTGATAAAACACTTGTCCGAGAGCCATTTGTTTGGAAAAAACGAGGCCCTAAAAATCGTTGTCGATGCTGGAACTGGTACGACAGCTGTTGGTTTGGCTCTCGGCGTTTCATCTTTAGGGTGAGATATATATACTGTATATGGGTAAATTACAACCACCCCTGAGGTATGGTTAAATTACAAAACTCCCCTCTTGTTTGGGTAATTACAACCACCCCCTCAACTATAAATCTTCTTACACGTCCACCCTTGTGGTTTCAAATTTAGTGAAATCTTCGAGATTATATGGAATATAATAACTTTTGCACCCGTTTTATCCCATTCGAACTCCACATTTTGAAGCAAGATGATCATAATATGTGTTTTTTGGCTTGTATATACCAAATTGTGGTGCATCAGAAACTGTATTTTTACACAAAACGAGTACAAACTAGAGCACATTCCACGAAATTTAGATGATTATGTTGAATTTGACACCATAAGGATGGAGATGTAAGAAAACAACATAGTTGAGGGGTAGATGTAATTATAAACAAGAGGGGTTTTTTCGTAAATTGACCATACCTTAGGGGGTGGTTGTAATTTACGCTATATATATATTAAAAAAAAAATTCGTGAGGTTAATTTTTGGAAAATCAGGCTTCCGTGGGAGGTGAATGCGGTAATGCTGGCAGACAAAATCGACGGCTACAAAAAGAAGGAACAAAATCTAATTTCCGAATTCCTAAATTCGACGGCTTCGGCTTTTGGAAAAGCTCCGATCAGAGAAAAAAACGATGGAATTGTGCAATGGGTGGAGCGTAGAGTACCAAGAAAGTAATGTCGAATAGTTGATCATATGTATACTTTGCGGTTTGATAAATATTATTTTCGTAATATATATAGGATTAATATTATTTGAGTTCTCGTATTGCAGATTTGGCAATATATTGAAAGGCGAAGTCGAAGAATGCCGAAGAATAGCACAGCAAACGGGCATTCTTGTCGATCCGATATATACTTTGGCTGCTTGGAATCTTGCTGCTGACCTCAGCGAAAACGGGGAAGAACGTACCAAAGTGGTGATGCTTCACACCGGTGGGACACTTGGCATGTTCGGATTGGCCCAGAGGTATCGGTCTTACTTTCGAAATCCTGAAGATGGTGTTGAAATATAATTAGTGATATAATTTATTTATTTATTTTTAACATTGATGCCATGATAAACTCTGTGTGTGTGTGTGTGTGTGTGTGTGTGTGTGTGTGTGTATATTCTTTTTTATTTTATTTTTTATTAAATATAGCTCAAAATAGAAGATGAATAATTTTTTGGTTTCTGATTGATAATCAGCTATTAAATATTTAAATTCCTCTAAAAGAGATATATCAAATTGTAGGGTAAATTACGGCCTTACCTCACCCTGAGTTAAGAGTTAAGATTAAATTACGAAAAAACTCTTCGTATTTGGGTAACTACTATCATTCCCTAAATTATGAATCTTTTTACACGTCCACCCTTGCGGTGTCAAATATAGTGGAATCTTTTAGATTATATGGAATATTCTCCAGTTTATACCCCATTTTATCTCATTCGAGCTCTACAATTTGTAACAAGATAATATTAAAATGTGTCTTTTGGCTTATAAATATCAGATTGTGGTACATTAGAAACTGCATTTTTGCAAAAAATGAGTACAAACTAGAGAACATTTCACATATACTAGAAGATTACGTTGAATTTGACACCATAAGAATGCAAATGGTTACAATCACCCAAATATGAAGGACTTCCTCGTAATTTGACCTTACCTCAGGGGTGTCAGCCGTAATCTATCCAAAATTGTATCTTGGAAGTAAGAAAAGTAGGGATGACTGAGTGCATTGGGTTTATAGCCCTATTGCAAGTAAAATAAAATTGTTATGCATGAACATTCTTGGCAATGGTGAACTTGTAAATTAAATTAATACACAAGGAAAAAAGATAATTAAAATATAATGAAACCCCTCCTAGTATAGTACACACTCCAACCAAAAACTATTAATGTAGTTATTTATTTATTTATTTATTAATAATTAAAATATAAGCTTGTGTCTGGCTACGAGACCTTCTCCACGTACGTGTTTCGTTTTCTATGCACGATTCGCCACGACACGACAAAGAGTCCCGATATTCAGTTGATTGTCAATAAACAAGTAAAATGAAAAAAAAGAAAGAAGAAAAGACCTAGTGGAGCAGCTAGTAAGTGGTGGTGGTGGTGGCAGCACTGCAGCAGCCACCCATTATGGCTGCAAGTAACGGTGGTGAGAGGAGGAGGAGGGATGGTGGTGGCATGCAGCATTCCTTGTTACAAGGGAGGCAAACAAGGATGGTCCTTTCGAACCTTTGCCTTGTGTGTGTGTGTGTGTTTTTTTTAATTATTATTATTATTATATATTTATTTATTTATATTTTATTTTTATTTGGTTTTGTGGAAAATGTAATATAAGTGTAGCAAGCCAAGAGAGTTATGGGGCAAACTGGGACTGTTTATTTTTGTTAAAAGAAGAGTTGAGACTGTCTTTTTAACTGACATCCTTTTCTCCTCTAATTTATTTAATTACCTATATATATATATATAAAAGGAATGTTGTTTGTTTTTGTGTGCTTCAAACCTAACATTCTAACCATCTTAAAATAGGGATATATGGAAGGGATTATAGCAGACATCCTTTTTCACTTCAACTTTTCAAGAACAATTAAACAATTATATATATATATTTATACAGAATATATAAATTAAACATGTATGTATTTTAGTATTTATATAAATGTATAATAAAATTTAATTCATTGAATTGGTGTAAATTATGTGTGTATTTACACAAATGTATAATAACATATAATTCAATGAAGTTCACATAATATATAGCATATTTTTATTGTGAATAAGATGGGGAACATAGCCTATAAACCTACACCACCATAAAATATTTATATTTACTTGTCAAAGACAAATAAGACAACCACTAGATTGTCAATAATTGCTAAAAAGAAACCACTAATTTTTAACACTATTTCACCCATTAATAAAATTGGCATGGTGAAATTTCACAACCATACTTGGAAGACGGTTTATACTATGCTGCATCGGGTGGAATATATTGGATATATCTTTTCTATTGTATACACCCAAACATATACACATAAATACTGGTGTGTACTGTAGTAAAAAAACATTTAGAGATATCATCACTATGTGTAGCATAGAATTAACCCTTGGAAGATGGTGAAATCTTGCAAATAAGGGCGCACGTGATTTTTATACTTACAGTTTGGAAATTGAAATCGAATCCGAAACCAGAATTCGAAAATCTCGTATATATCCCAATTCTGATACAAGAAATTGAAAAAAAAATAATTAAAAATCATCTTTTATAATTTGGAAAGAAAAACATCGTTTAAAAAAAAAAAAAAACTTTCGATTTAAATCAGCGGAATTCGGAAATTGCATTCATATTTCCAACCATATTGCATTTGTTCTTTGACAAACAACTAACACATCATAAAGATTCTTCTAATAATAAACCGATGAATATGTGCTCTATAATTTCATATTCCGCACTGCATCTGGAATTGCAAAGTCTTGGTCTAAGTTATGGAATTCATGTCATTAATTAATATATATATATATATATATATATATATATATATATATATATATATATATATATATATATATATATATTAGTGGAAATAACGTACAAATTAGTAAAAATATAAACTGTGAAGTGAAGGTACATGATTGTTTAAGTTCAATAGAAATGTTTTTTAAACTTTGTCGTTTGTACCATTTGAATCTCGGCAAATACAAATTTTAATTTCTATTTAACATTTTTACAAATTGTTTTACTAACTTTTACAAAATATTGTTTTTGGTGTGTTATTGTGTATCGATAATTAAACTCAGATTTGTTTTCTGAGATTTAAGTTTGTTCGACTGACAAGGTAGCCTTTTGATAAGTACATCGCATCTAAGAACTATTTGATATCCGGGAGAAATTGGGAAACCAGTATAAAAAATGCATGTAAAGTCAATACACAAAAAAAAAATTATTATTTCAATTTAATTTTAGTAATTTGAAACATATTTTTCCTACAATTCGCTCAAAATATGGAATGTCATATCTAAGAACATAACTAGTTGGAAAACAATATTTATTAATTAATTAATTAATTAATTATTAATAGTGGAAAAAAGAAAAGAAATAAGTTGGACGACAAGAGCATGCGAAGCAACAAAAACAAACATGGGATTTGGTTTAATTAATAATATATATAAATATGGTGTAAGCATTGGAAACCTCATGTTTGTCCGGTGCACGTGCACCACTATTTGATTATTCCCATAATTATATTTATTTGTATTTTATCGCATAACTAATAGATATTAAAAATAAATAAATAAATAAATAAAGGTCAAAATGATTTTGCATGTATGTATAGTCCTGTCATGGATGCTGGCATATCTGACCCCATTTGTATGTCCGAAAATATGCTGTAAATAGATCAGTTGTAGGATTGACCATTGAGTTGACAAAAAGGCAGCATTTTAATTATAAGTATTTAGCTAAATTAATTTAATTAATTAAACTATTGAGAATTTTTTTTTATAATTATAATTCCATTTTGCAGCATTCAAATTTTATTTCCTCCAATCTTCAATCTATTTTCGAGGATACAAAGTGCAAAAATATATATATTTAGGGACTATTAGTGAGAACCCCCTCTAACATTATTTTAATAAGGATGGGTCCAGCTCATTTTCCTTTATTAGTGAGAAACCCATTCTTTTTGTATTCTCAAATTTACCCTCCCACTATTCACTACTCATTATCCATTAGTTTGATATATTTTTTTTTTTATTTTTTATATTTTAATTTTAATTTTAATTTTCGTTTTTTTATTTATTTCTTCTTTAAAAAATAATTTTTTTTTTAAAAAAAACTTTTTTTATATTTATTTTAATATTTTTCTTTAAATATTACTTTTCTATATTATTTTAGTTTTCAGTTAAAACAACTATATGCCAATAAAACGACTATTATTAAAACGACTATTATAAAACGACTATTATTAAAACAATTGGTATTAAAACAATGATACATCAGTTTCACAATTTATTAAATTAATTATATATTATATTATTTCCATTATAAGATTAACTAATTATTTAATTAAAACATCTCCAAAACAACTATTTGTTAAATGAACTATTTATTCAAACAAACTAAAAAGTAATGAAAACAATAATATTGTTGTGCAAAAACAACTATATTACTATACGAAAACAACTATATTGACTCAACTACAAATTATTGAAATCCACAAAAGCAAAAGCAAAAGCAAAAAAACACACCAAAATTCCAACAAAAACGACACGCTATTACGCGTAAGTAAATGAATTAGGGGGTTTTTACGTATTTCTTCTCCAGGTCCACCTCCAACAACAATCCAAAGAATGGGAGCAATTGTTGACAAAAGTTCACCACCTACAAATTTAAAATACCGACAAATATCACAAATCAATTACAAAAAGTAATAAAAAAAAAAAAATACAATGGTAACAAGTATTCAACTATAAAAGTAACATAAACAACTACAAAATTAACAAAACAACTATAAAAAAGCAGAAAATACAACTACAAAAATTAACAAAACAACTATAAAAAAGAAAAGAAAATACAACTACAAAAATGATACAAACAACTATTTCTCCGAAATTGAAACAACATGAACATCGCAACACATCCAGACATATCAAATAGTTTGCTTCGAGCATTCTCGTCAAATCTTGATTTTCTAATTTCAAACCACCATGATTTTAAAGCATGGACAATAGAAACTACTCCATAATTAAACAATAATTAGCATATCAAAACAAACAAAGCAAATAAAAGAACACCAATATACCACCATCCTTGCTTTCTACAGCAAACATCTCATCGATCAGGAGAATTTCCGGTTATTGGTATTAAAACAATGATACATCAGTTTCACAATTTATTAAATTAATTATATATTATATTATTTCCATTATAAGATTAACTAATTAGAATAACGAAAACAACTAATTAAAAAACTATATTGCTGCAAAAGATACCCATCAACAACTATACAAAATAGTAGAATAACGAAAACAACTATACTAAAAATAGTAGAATAACGAAAACAACTATATTGCTGCAAAAGATACCCATCAATAAAAACATCTCCGATTTTTTTTTTTTAAATTATGGTTGCGGTGGAGCAGAGCGATGTTACCAGATCTGACGATGCAGACGAGGGTGGAGGTAGAGAGGGGTTAACCATTACCAAAAAAAAAAAAAACGAAGGGTCTCCCATATTCGATTCCAACGCCTTTGGTGGCCACCGAATATAACGAACAAAGCGAACTAAGCGAGAATCGACTCCGTAGCGGCTGAGAACGAAGCGAACTAAGCGAGAATCGACTCCATAGCGGCATTTGTTCTTTAATTTTCTTCACGGTGCCGGAGATTTGAGAACGACTCCTTCGTCGTTGTTGAGACGTGGCGCCACCTTCGTCCTCCGTAGCCGCCGCCTCCACCGCCATTACCGGGATTCCCAGATTGAGAAAGAAGAGAAGTGGATTTCAGATCGATAAAGAAGAGAAAACGTGAATCGGGATGATAGAACGGCGGTTTTGAATATAAAATATATGGCTAGGGTTTGTGATTATAAGATCTGATAATTAGGGGTAATATAGGTATAATATTTAATAATTATATTAATATTAATTTAATTAAATAACTAAGGGGGGTCTCACTAATATTGGAAAAGGGTGTAGATCCATGGCGGTTTTGAATATAAAATATATGGCTAGGGTTTGTGATTATCCCATATATTTATGTATGATGTCTTGAAAATGTATTTTTCTTACACGAAAGAATCTCTTCACTTAATTTTTCACCAAGTTATTTAATTAGCTGGTCGTTTATTGAAATTGGTAAAAATATTTTGTTGTTACACTGCCTTTTTTTTTTTTTTTTTTTTTTTGGTAATGCAGGAACCCGCAGCCAACCATATAGGTGCACTGGGTAAACCTACACTCTCGTATAATAGCTTGCAAACCATACGAGAGATGTAAACCACACTAGGCTAACCATGTGTGACAAGCTCGACCTAGCGACCGTTGGCAAGGGGATTCGAACTTGGGTCAATTGACCCAAGCTCCCTTGCTCCAACCGCTAGGCCACCCTTGCGGGTGTTGTTACACTGCCTTTGAAATTAGGTTCAAGGGTTGAAGTGAATTTTCACAAACACGTGCAGAAACCCTAGTCCGAGTAATTTTCACAATTATATATATATATATATATATATATATATATATATATATATAACAAATAATATGAGAAAAGTATTGAATACGAATACAATGTACTCAATAAATAGTTTGTCAAAACAAGGTTTTAACGATGCTTCTCCTCATATAATAAAAGTTCTTTTTTTGGCCTAGAATTGACGAGTGAAAAATATTGTAGATGCTATATTGGATGAATTATATAAAGTAACATTTAGTGGTATATTTCTAATATATGATTTCACACAATTAATATTAGAATGTGATATTACTTGATTTTGATATGTATTAAATGTATATACGAACATACATACAATTAATATGATTATAATTCACTTGCATGAAATAAAAAAGGTTTGGTTCTATTTTTATTTCACTTTAATTATTTTTCCGAAACAAATTCGTGTTTTTTAAGGTTTCCAAAAAAGATTTCAAAAAATAACTTAAAAAGTTTATCTCGCTTTCAAATTTTATTTGACTGCTACAGTAAAAATATGTTTTTACTAAAACTGAAATAAATATCATTTTATTTTTCAAAATCTTCTTTTATAATGCATCTTTCCAACACCATTAAACATGATCTGACTTTGTCTCATCTCAAATTATATCTTCAAAACATATTTTCTCAAAATAAAATGAAAATAACTCCCAAATGAATCTAAACATTATCATACTATGTATTTTAATACTTTTTTTTTGGAAATGAAGGAATCTACAACCAACCGTATAGGTGCACAGTTTAAACCCATACTCTCGTGTAGTAGTTACAAACCATACGAGTAGTGACGGAGCTAGGAATTTGAGATAGGGTAAGATTTTTTTATTTTTTTTTGATACATTCACATAAAATAGTACAAAATAACTATAAATTTATAAACTTGAACTAATATAACATATTTTTTTTTGGTGGATATGCTAAACTAAAATTATTTGAATGGGCTAAATTAAACTAGGGCTAATTATATATAAGTATAATATATAGTATATTTTTTTTAAAATTCAGAGTGAACTGTTGCCCGCTCTTGCCAAAAGATACTTTTATCATAGTATAAACCACACTAGATTAACGCTAGTAGATGTATTTTAATTCTTGTTCAATATTAATGTAGAGAATATATAAAGACAAAAAAATTTGCAGTTGCATTTTGAAATTTGGACCCTTTTAGGAGTGGTCAAAATACCCACATGAGAGAGTACATAAACATGCACCACTCAGCTGCAAATTTTCCTAGTGTTTTCACAAAATAGAAATAAAAGAAATCACATATCTGGTATATATAGAGATATTGTACCTTTTGTAAAGATCTCGACACGTGTAGGGCCAGGGTTTGACTGTCCCTTTTTGTGACAAGTCAATTATAAAAATAAAACTGCTAATTACGACCGCCCTGAAGATAAGGTTAAATTACGAAAAACCCCTTCTTGTTTGCATAATTACAAGCATCCCTCAACTATGTATTATCTTACGAAAAATCCTTGGAGTCGATAAATCTAGGGGCTTTCATTTGGTAAAATTTTACATAAATTGCAGTACGCCAAAAATTTAATATCGTTTAGCATTTGGTTCGATAAATAACTGAATTAACAACATTTTATAAAAATATTTAAAATTTGATTTTGATCTTGATTTTTTAAAATTAATTTGAGTTTAAAGACTAATATTACATATATAAAATAAAATAAAACTGAATACAAAACCGAATTAACGGTTCGGTAATCGACATACTAATTTCCGTTCAGTTCGATTCGATTGGTTTACTGACCGGATGAACACTCTCAGGTAAATTTGAGATTGTAAAGGTGGTGGATGTGTAAGACAATATATAAAAAGGAAAAATTATAATTACAAATAAGAGGGTTTTTTTTTTTTATCTTCATATGATACCTTACCTGAAGTTTAATCTCTAGATTGTTGAATTATGTAAATGTTTATCAATGTGTAAGTAACATTGTTATCTTATAAATTAATTTTGTATTAGGGACATATATTGTTCAATTTCTCAAAGAGTTTAATACCACCAACAGTTTGTACTTGTGAAAAATATTTAAATTTGTGGATATAAAATAGGGATAATAAGTGAAAACTCCATTTTGAAATTGCATTGAGACAAATCCACACTTTCGAAATATAATTAGTGATAACCCAATTCCAATTTTTTATTTGTGAAATTCTAGATTATCTTATATTTTTTCGAAATTCTGAATTAAACTAAATTTGAATAGATTACTATAGTTGATTAAAATATTAAAGCGTATATTGGATCTAAAAACAATATATTGACCATGAAGAACCATAGTTGATTTAATATTTGACTATATATAGACGCTTACGTAAACTATCACATAACAATAGTAAAATCGAAGAAAGAAAAACCGAAGTGTATCAGACGAATGGAAGAAGAAATACCGAGGTGTTTGATGTCCATACGAGGATGAGATTACCGTGAGAATCGAGAGTGAAGAACAATGTAATATTAGAAGTGCTCCAAAATTATGACTATTGTTTAATTGAAAAAAAATGAGATTGGAGTTTTCTCTATTATTGTCGAAGAGCCCCTGGAAAAATAATTATTTGCCGCTTGATAACATAATAATTAAGTGAGAAGGGTATTTTGGTAATTTAACGATGAACACTATTTAGGAAACTTTTTAAGAGAGAGAGAGAGAGAGTCGTGTTTTAATATCATAGGCAAAAATCGTCTCTTCTTTACATTAAATAGTATATATCGTATCGTTTCTCGTCTGTACCTCTCTGTCATTCTCTCGCCTCTCACTTTCTCTCTCACACACACAAACACACAATTTTACACACACACACAGAAATCACACAATTATCATACTCCCACTCCCATAGGTAGTAGAAGATTCAAGGTAGAGTCTAGAGAGAGAGAGAGAGAGAGAGAGAGATACTGTAGCATGAAAGAAAGCCTAGAGAGAGAAGAAAAGATATGTTACTGAAACTGCATATAACAAGATCACCGAAGCGTCGTCGTTTAACTTCACCCTCGGATAAAAACCCTTCTCGGAAAAAAAATAATTTAAATCCATCTATTTATTGAAAAAAAAAAGCAATTTTCCGGCGATGAACGGACCGGGATTTTCGCGGCGACCGGCGTCCAACAACCATCTAGACCCCGGTGCTCAGGAATTCTTCCCCTCCTCAGTCCTCCCACCTCAAATTTTCCATCCGTACCCTCCACCGCCGTACGACAGCATGATGGGTGTTTACGCGCGGCCGGCGTTTCTAAGCGCCGCCGCGGATCCCCCGCCGCCGCTGCCGGTTTCCGTTCCTCCGTCGTCGCTGACGCCGTCTCGGACCCTGCTCCTCAGCATGGTCCCGAACTCCGTGAGCGAATCCACGGTCCGCCGCGAGCTGGAGGTGTTCGGCGACGTGAGGGCGGTGCAGATGGAGCGGCGGCGCGAGGGTTTGGTGACGGTCCATTTCTACGACGTCCGGGACGCGGAGGCGGCGCTGGCGGCGATTCAGGAGCAGCACATGCAGCAGCAGTACCGCATCGGCCGCCACTACGACGCCGTCCTGATGAATAACGGTCCCCCACATCCTTTCATACCGCCGCCGCAGACGGCGCGTGGGCTCATCGCAGGACGCGTGGTGTGGGCCCAGTTCACCGTTCCGGTGACTTCTGGCCTCCCCGACGGGAATAATCAAGGAACCCTGATTCTATTCAATTTGGACACAAGGGTTTCTCCTCCTTATCTCAGACATATATTTGAAGCCTTTGGTAAGAGTTTTTAAGTTCAGTCAGTCGCCATGTGAATGGTTCTTCTGAGTTCTGTGTGTGTGTGTGTGTGTGTGTGTGTTTTCAGATATGTTTTCAGAGTGATGTGTCGTTGTCTTGACCAACATTTATGTGTAATATATTCTTGGTAGCTGTTCTTATATATTGTGTTTATATGTTTTCTAATTAATGTTTTTTTTATTTAATTGCAAAATTTGAAAAAAAAATGAAAAAAAATAGGGCCGGTGAAGGAATTGAGAGAGACGCCGAACAAAAGACACCAGAGATTTGTGGAGTTCTATGATGTAAGAAATGCAGCTAGGGCAATGGCGGAGATGAACGGTCGTGTTATTTATGGTAAAGCCATCGTGATCGAATTCAGTCGGCCTGGTGGCCAAGTCAAGAAATTCTGGAAAGGCGGCCCTTTCGACAACGGAACTACTAATTACAATCGACGGAACTTGAATAAACGGCCTCCGTTGTCGTCGTTGGAAAATAAGCCCAACGTCCGCCCGCCGCGGCGTGATTATGAACGTAGCGAGGGGAGCAAGAGCTGGAGTAGTGGTTCGTCTTCGCTTCGTGAATCGATTACGAATTTATGCATTACGAATAATTGTAACAAGGACGAGAGGTGCTCGGATAGTAGTAGTACTAGGCCGAGTGCGCGTAAGCAGAATCATTGTTATTTCAAGAAAGTGAATAATAACAGTTCTGATGGTGGTGGTGGTGGGAGTTCGAAGCCGCAGAGCCACGGTGGCGGTTGCAAGCCGTGGAAGGGCGGCGGAGGCGGAGGTAGACGAGGGAAGATGGAACACGATCCGCGGTTTCTGATAAACGAAGAAGATGCAATTGTGGAATCTGATTGCAGTATTAGGGATTCAAGAACCACTGTCATGATCAAGAACATCCCCAACAAGTACAGGTAATTTATATATATATATATGTATATATATATATATATATATATGTATATGTATATATATATATATATGTATATGTATATATATATATATATAGAGCGGCCATTCTTTTTAGCTTGCTTGCTGGTTTGTCCAAAATATTCTTCCACCAGCCAAAAAAAAAACATTTGGAATATTAATATTTATAATATTCTCTGAAAATACATTTATTTATTATTTATGTATATATATGTATGTATATAAAATGGTGCAGTCAGAAGCTGCTGCTGAACATGCTGGACAACCACTGCATCCACTGTAACGAGCAGTTGGCCGGCGGCGGCGGCGGCGAGAATGACCAGCCTTTGTCTTCTTACGATTTCGTCTACCTTCCCATTGATTTCATGTGAGTGATTAATTATTATAATCATCTATTATTTAATTCCATAATTAATTTGCTAATTATTCATTAATTGGTAATTAGAAATAAGTGCAATGTGGGATATGGGTTTGTGAACATGACTTCACCCGAAGCAACCATTAGACTCTACAAAGCCTTTCACCATCAAAACTGGGAAGTCTTCAACTCCAAAAAAATCTGCCACGTCACCTATGCCAGACTCCAGGTATATATATATATATATATATATATATATATATATATATATATATATATATATATATATATATATATATATATATATATATATATATATATATATATATATATATATATATATATATATATATATCTATATATATATATATATATATATATCTCTATATATATATATATCTATATGTGTGTATCTATATAGATATATATATATATATATATATATATATATATATATATATATATATATATATATATATATATATATATATATATATATATATATATATATAAATAAATAAATAAATAAATAAATGGGAAGTGACGATTTGA